TGTTTATCTGCAGTTAGTTATACGAATTCAGATATGAGATGAAATCGGATAGGGATGAACGAGTTTAAGAGTTTTTAAGAGTTTTAAGAGTTTTTAAGAGTTTTAGCCAAATGCATTATAAGATAGTATAGATACAGCCTTCGTGTGAGATGTCAACTTGGTCAACGGAGGGTGATTTGGATTCAGTTCCATGTTTGTGTTATAACGAGGAACAAGAGGCTTTAGATCACGCAATTTTACAAAGTGTAAAACAGCCTCGAAAATACTGTCATCCATATATCAACGGCGAAAGATCGATGACCATATTGGTAATCCAGCAAGTGAGATTTTAAACCATATGGGAGGATCCCTGGCTTCGTTTTGGCCAAAATCGATTTGGCCAGCTACACTATGGTCTAGGGCATATATGATGGGAACACCGTGTTCGAGTGATTTTTTAGAGTAAATCCTTTTATTTGCAGACCTTTTATTTACAGCTATACAAACTACATCTTACAACTGGATCTCGAGAAGAATTCAGAAACGTCGTATTTTGTGGGATCTTTTACTGCGCTTTTTTTTTACATCTTTTTTAGAGTTATGAGTCGTTTTGTTCGCTGGTATCTCAATGGTAAGGTCATAGGTGGTGCTTTTATTTTGGTACAATTTTAAACATTTTAATACTCAGATAACTGATTAAAACATTAATCGGTTATCATATTGATGTAACAAGCGATGTATTCAACCCAATTACATCCAATCATTCGTTACATCAACATATAACCGGTTAATACTTCAACCGGTTATCTGAATACTTATATATTTAAAAATTTACAACTTAGATGCTAAAATGGAAGTTTAAAAATTATATTACTCAAAATAAGAATCAAGTTAAAGTACGTTATTCACGATCTACCCGAAAAACGCCTATACGTTTTTTACTTTTTTCTGTAAATTAACAAAAACAAGATGTCACGTTCTTTGATTAAACCAAGAGAAACCCCAGAAACAAAACACGTGGAACTTGAATATACATGCATATTACTTCACTATTAAGCTCCGGCGTGCCGACCAATTTTCCGGCGAACTCTGCACCTTCTGATTCAAGTGACTAACCCAACCGTTTCCGGCATATTTAATTCTCTCCCCCAATTCCACCACCTTGTCTCTAATCACCTTCCCGGCGTCGCCATTAAATGACAGGAAAACCCATCTCAACGCCGCAAGCCCCGCTATTGCCATCACAGCCGCCATTCCGAGCCCCACCATCGCCGCCGCAACCACAAAGCCGGCAGCCAGCAGCAGAGGGCTGAAGATAACGAAAAGTGGAGCAGTGACTAAAAACAGTATCATCGTTGCACAGAAACTGATGGCCATCAAGACGATAAGTGGTCCGGCGACGGCGATGGCGACTAAGGCTGAGAATAGCATCGTCTTGCCGGTGATTTGGTCGCTCCGCCGTGGATCCGCCGTGTCCAATCTCGTTTCGAGTGTACCCATCTTCTTGTGGTTTGGATAATGACCATTGTTTGGCGTTTATAGGTGCATTTATGTTGGAAATATATTATGGGCACGTGGTACACCACGTGTAAATGGGTGGTGACGTGGGTATTCTGATTGATGAACAGGTGGCAAGTGTTTGACTATTGGTTGATACATGATTTTTGCATTTGACTTTTTCACGTGGGTGATGAGAATTTCGATTTCCAACTCATCCTACGTGGCTAATTTCCAAGCTGCCACGTCTCTTTATTTAATTTCGACTAAATTATGATTTTAGTCCCTATAGTTTAGAAGTTATAACTTTCGTTCTTACAATTTGCGATATATTTATATATTTGATTCCTGCATTAATTTTTGTTACAATCGGTTTGGTAATACAGTACAAAGTATGTAAACTTGGTTGGTATATGATATTGGAAGTTACATACGATATTATTAACATGGTACTGACTTATTTAACTGGTTATTAATTTATTTGTAATGAGTATTAAACATTTACTTTACATATTTTGTCTGAACATTTAATATTTGCAAGTTTTATTATTTTTAGGGGTGCTCATGAGTTAGATTGATCGAGTTGAAGACATTTGAACAACTCAACCCAACCCAAACCGCACGGGTTAGTCGTGTTAATACTTTGGTACATTGAAATATTATTCTAACCTTAAATATGTTATTTCTCTACTTATAATTTTCTTTTTCATTATCAATCATTTGATACAATTTATCCATACTTCTCACGTATATCAAATTCAATTACTTTTCTCAATTTATATATATATGTTTACAATTACTGAACAAATATACGAATGAGTTATATAGAAATGTGAATAGATTGAAAATATGTGTATAGTGTATTCGTCTAATGTATATGTTAATATAAATTCAACAACCATATTAAATCCAAAAAATAAAAGGGTATCGGGTTCATCGGATTGGGTCGGATTCAAATAATAATAACTAAATATCAACCCAATACATATGATTTGAAAATTTTACAACTCGATTAGACATTGGGTTGCTTCGAGTTCATCACAAGTGTTACCTGAAAACTCAAAATGTCACTCTTTAAACAAATAACAAGTTTTCGTTGATTTAACTTGAATTTGGTACAAAATCAAGATCAACATGTACCAACTGAAAAATATCGGTACCAATTAAATCGATACCAAATACAATTGATTGGTACACGATATAAGCTTTTACATACCAATCAAAATTGGTTGACACAAAATATCACAGGAAAAAAATAACCTAGTAACATACCAATTCCACCCCTTTTAATTGTTTTATATATATATAAATTGAAGTTGGTAGAAAACCAGTATCAATCTGTATGAAACTAAAAATGCTGGTACGAATTAAATTGATACCAAATACAGTTGGTTAATATATCACATAAGATTAATACATACCAATTTAGTTAATTGACACATAATATTATAACTAGTTCATACACAATATAAGATTTTATATATTAATTAAAGAAAAAAACTTGATACTGTACCAAGTGCAGCGGGAATTAGCGATTGACAAAATCTGGTCCCAAACTGGGTCAAACAGTAACAATTTGGACCGGTCCCAGTCCCATAAAAAATACAAAGGTCCGGTTAAGGAAACTTGTAACCGGTTACGGTAACCAGGTCCGATCCCGGTATTAAAAAAAAAATCTTTTTATATATATTTATAATTTTTTTTGATAAAATTTGAAAAATACTTTAATGTTATTCCAATACATTTGAAAATATTTAATTAGGTCAATCAAATACACTTAAAAAATACGTTTTATAATTGGTTTTCAATCAAATACACTTAAAAATTACATTGATTTCAATCAAATATACTTAAAAATATGTTTTTATTGTAAATTTGTAATTTGATTTTCAATCAAATACACTTAGAATGCTAGAAATGCATTTAAAAATATATTTTTTTGAAAAAAATCGGACCGGTCCCAGGCCGGGCCTATAATCGATCCATACCTTATTTTTTGAACGAAAATCATAACCAGTCCTCAACCGGTGGTCCCAAACCGGTCCCAATCGGTCCCGGGTCAGAACGATCATAAGTCGGTCCCGATCTCGGTCTTCGCGGTCCCAAGCCGAGCCGGATGTGGCCCATTTGGCCATCTGTAGCGGGAATAGTAGTGATGGCCAAACCGGCCGGGCACAGGCAAGGACCGGTTATAGGACCGAAATTTGGGACCGGTTATGGATTTGGGGTGTTTCGCGGGACCGGGACCGGTTATGGCCCGGCCCGGCCCTATTTTTAAAAAATGTAACTATTTTTTAGAAAAAATGTAGTTGTTTTGTGGCCCCCTTTTTTGTATTTCTTTTTGCTTTTTAAACACTATATATAAGTGTCTTGGTCGAAAGATTTACATACCAAGTTCTCGATTCGAAAAAAATCGCAAAAAAACGTTCACAATTATCGGTTTCTCGCTATATTTTGTGAGACAATGTAATTTTAATTATAATAAAATGCAGTTTTAAAGTGTATTTGAATGACCCAATTACAAATTTTATAATGTATTAAAATATATATCATTAAAAAAATAAAAAAATAATTTTTTTTTTTAATGACCGAGACCGATTGAGACCGGGATCGACAGCCCATAACCGATTACAATAAAGCTTGATCGGGCTCAACTTTTTCCAACAAAACCGGAACCGATTATAGCCGGTTATGAGAAATCTTGGGACCGGTTGTGGCGACAAGGGAATAGTCATTTCCATATTCCAATTGAGTCCAAATTGAACCCACAAAAGGAGGTTTCACAACCAGCCCACTAGCAACAAACGGTGTCGTATTGGCGTTCGAACTGAAAAAAGCTATAAAACGACGTTTTAGATCTCCCGCTTCCCCCTGAAAATTGGATACTTTTTGGAACCCTAGCTTCTCCTTCTGCGATTCGCGATAATGAAGCTCGTCAGGTGTGAATTTGTTTTAGTTTCCTCAATGATTTTTGTTGCTAATTCCTTCGTTAATTTCGTATCGTTCGCAAAATCATTGCAATGATGTTTTCCCCCCTTTTTTGTGTGTAATAATTTAGGTTTTTGATGAAGTTGAACAACGAAACAGTCTCGATCGAGCTCAAGAATGGGACGGTTGTACATGGAACCATCACAGGTAGCTATTCGCTCGCTCCTTTCCTTTCTTATGTTGTATTTGGTGGTAGTATAAAGAGTACGATTCAGCTCCTGAGTAACTAGGGTTTTTATAAACCCTGTAACGCACTTGTCTTCCTATATTGCACCTGGTTATTCATCAACTGCATGTTGTTTGTTATTGATTTCCTTTCATCTCTACGGATTTCATAAATCTTAAGCACATTCGAGCGTTTTTAGCTTAATCATTGGGAATTCCATTTAACTGCTACTAAGATATGGCGTGGAACAAAGGGAAAACGAACAACCTCTAAGGTGACCTGGTGTATAACGAAATGATGTCTTGTATACTCTATAGGCAGGAACATTTCCATTCTGATATTGGGTATTCCTGCATGGACCTTTGAGATCAATTGACACACTATTGAAAGGGACAGAACTTTCATTATTATATGTTTCGCAAATCTGAATAAACTGTGAAAGACAAAAGCTGTTTGAAATTGTACTTTGGAATTTGTTATCATATCTTTTTGTAGATGTGTTTTTATCTGATTCTCCTGTTGATTTAGATGGAGTATTGATTTTTCTGAATCCCCGTATTTGGTTTTTTTATTGCATACAAACCATTCTTCTTATGAAGATGCAAAAAGAATCGTCGTATATGTTTGCAACTATTCATTTTTTCGCTATAGCAATTCAAAATAAATCACATATTGTTTATGTTTAGTACATGATTTGTCTTCAGTCTATTTAGCTGTGTATTCCAATTAGTTGTGGCCCTTTTGTTCAACTTGCTTAAAAAGACCACTTGATGTACATTGCTGAAATTTGAAAATCATGGACAAGCGTTACAGATCAGGAGTTGAAATGTTAATAATCTTAAAGGTGTATAAGGAATTAAAAATCTTCAACCACGAGATAAAAGAATCATGACAAACCAAGCAACAGTGTTTAAATTTTAACTATGCAAAAGCGAACCCTACAATTTTATGCAGTAGGAAATCTCACAAGGAGGAAAGAAAGGTCGACTATGACTGTAAGAGAAATTCATAAGTAGTATTTCACTCGATGTTGAGGGTCTTGTTGACCTTAATATTTATAGCACCCTTTGTTGCAAGTTTTGCAATTGTGGATCAGTTGCTTCCAAAACAAAGATGTTGGTTTCTTGATTTGCAGCAACATTATTGGCATATAATCAAGCAGGTTGATGCATCTAACTTGCTTATGTGATTCCTATTCCCAATCCATGCCTGTTGTTTGTTGTTTCTGTTGATTATGCTTTGGTTATTTTGCTTTTGTTGGATTATAAGGGTGTTCACCCAATTTTGAGTGCAAGGTTTTCTGTCCAGGAATTTTTGTGGGTGGTGGCAGGATTTGACGATAAAAATGAATTTGTTGAAATATTTCACAATATTAGTATATATTTGTTGGTTGGTTTCTTGTCCTTGTACAGAAGGTACCCATGTTCGAGTCCAGGCTATAATTTTTTTTAAACATATAAAAAACACAAAAATTTAAGCTAAAAATTAAAAAAATTGACATTGGTTGGACTCGAACCCGGGGTTTTTGTACAAAATGAGCAAGATTTACCAACTCTGCAATTAAAGACTTACATCAAAGCTCCAGTTTCAAAAATTATATGGTGCCACCGAACAAAACAACACGGTGGCACCTTTACGAAACGTAACTTTTTCCCCTTATGACAGCACCATGAAGCGGTGGCCCGTGCCACCGTATGGGCCTATGTAGGTCTGCCCCTGCTTTCAGCGACATATAGATAATGCATTGGACTATTTGAGTAATGTAAACATGTGTATTAATATATATATATATATATATATATATATATATATATATATAAGGCTCCTGAAACATTATCCTGGATTTACTGTATTTTCTTTTGTTTCCACTTTCTTTGTTCTACACACTAATCGATACGTCTTTGTAGTGTAGATTTGTTCAACCCTTTAAAATAAAACCTCAATACTATTTTTTCTCTCCCTCTAAAGTTGTTTACTTCTTTCTTAACTGTCATGATGTTCTTTATGGGCTATTTATCTCAATGGCCTTGTCCAGTAGCTGGTTTTGCAAAATGACCCTTTAAGTGTATTTCTAAGTTTTTGCGAGAGCAGACTGTTTTCAACCAGAAGCTTTCTGTTATGAATCGGCTTAACAGGTGAAACCAACACAATAACAGAAAGGAAAAGCTTGACCAAATTGTATTAAATCACAGTAAATGAATGTAGGAACTCTAGCAATTCGAGAGTGCTAGTCTCTCCCAAAAGAACCCATTAATTTTTGCACTACAACCAGACCCACTAATGTATACTACTAGGCTACTAGCATCGTAGGATTATTCTAGATATGACCCAAAGGCCCTTCTGCTAACAGAATAATTCCCCAAAAATACTAAAACACCCCTTCTAAGCTCTTCTAGAATTTATAAGGTGTTGATGGGCCTAGGCTTGGATCAATGCATAACATTTTTTTTTAACCAAGGGTAGATTTGATGAAGGGCATTGAACTAAAGGACCCATTTATCATTCTATTTAGGCTTTTTCATGGAAATCATGTATTGATGTGAAGTTGGTTGGACTTATTTGGTTTTGTATACTCCAGGTGTTGATATTAGCATGAACACACACTTGAAGACGGTGAAGTTGACACTGAAGGGGAAAAACCCCGTAACCCTAGATCATTTGAGCGTGAGAGGCAACAACATTCGTTACTATATACTTCCCGACAGCTTGAATCTGGAGACCTTGCTAGTTGAAGAAACACCTCGAGTCAAGCCCAAGAAGCCAACTGCAGGTACTTTATCATTTCTCTTCCATGTTTTTTGCGAGCATGCAATTTTTTTTTTTTCGTTTTCCTGAAATATATAATATTTATATATGGTAAAACTCATACATGCACTCATTGTACTAGTGCCTTTGGTGAGACTTGAATCCTTCCCCTCGAAACTGCGATATACCAGGGTCATTAGCCCAACTGTATCCGGGTTACCTTTGTGAGCGGTGAGCCCAGTTTTGAGGAGGGTAACTGGTTAGACCATCTCCAACAACTATGCAGTTTTAGAACTTTTGGAGATTTTACAATAGTTTGCTCCAACAACTATGCTAAACTCCTCTGTAGAATAGAGAAAAATAGGGGAAATAATGAAGAAACCTCCAAATTTGAAGATAAGAGAAAATATAGCATATCTGTTGGAGATGCTCTTAAGCTATTCTATAATTTTTCAAAAATAAAGTATCAAAAGTTAAAATCTCTAAAACAGTTACATCCAACTCCAATATTTTAGCAATTTTTTCGTCAACTATTTTATTAAAATATTCATATCTGTTGGAGATATTCTTTTAAGGGTTCATATCTCACCAAAGCGAGGAGGTTGTCTGAGTATTTTGCTGTACATAAATATTATATACTTCAAAAAAAGACTCAGATCTACTCGTAACAACGTGGATACATCACTACTTGTGGTCAATTTTGTATGTTAATGGTTTGATGTTGTAAAATCTGATGCAGGGAGGCCTGTGGGACGTGGACGGGGAAGAGGGCGAGGTCGTGGACGTGGGCGTGGTCGTTAATCGAAGTTATTGTCATTTTGTTATATGTTAGTATGTGGAAATAGTGACAGTTTCTTGGTGAACCAATTTGGCTAATCTCTAGTGCTTAGTTCAAATGAGTTTGGATTTTTATTGCATGAAATACTCTTTACATTAAAATGGTATCTATATTTTCTTGGATATAATTAGTTAAGGGGGTGTTTGTGACTTCTTATTTAAAGCAACTTATGTTTTTTTCCCTCCTATAAAAGTGCTTATCAACTTATTTGGTAGCAAACCGGAGTTTTATAAAAAATGTTTGGATATTACACTGAATAAGTTGATAAAATAGATGGGATGCCCTTTTTTTTTCCAGTCAAAACACTAAAAACTTCGTATTACCGGTATCATATCGGAATAAGTTAACAAGTTGGAATGAAGTAACTTATCAAAAACTTCTTATTATCGGTGCCAAACCGGTATAAGTATTTCATTTTTTTTCCATTCAAAGACTAAAAACTCTTTATTACCAGTATTATGAAACTTTTTGCAACTGTATAAGATTGGTTAACCATTATGTCATGTATGCATAAAGTTGTTTGTGTTGATTAATTTGTCTGTATAGATTGAGATAATTTTTGTTTGGAGTGTTTTTTCATAGATGAAATAAACATGTTTTTAATTGAGACGCAACTACTTATTTACGTAGGAGCTATAAGTGTCAGAAAAATGATCCTACAAATAAAAGAATCTTTAAGTACGAAATAACATGGCTATTACCTTGACACCAAAGAAGAGTTCGACCCAATGCTTTATCATGGCCGGTTGGGAAAACACTTATATTTTTGCATAAAGTTTTCCTAAAAGCTTATTGAATAAGTCGTTTTCTATATCATTGGGTCATTACCAAACAATTACTTATAGCTGGCCAAAAAAACGAGTCTCGTATTTTTATAAATTTTTTCAAAATGTTTATAAAAGAATCACAAGATTGTATTATCCAAATATTTCATATAATTAATACAACATAATTTCTTGCTTCTAAAGATTTAATTTTGATGAGTTTGCGTAAGGTCATAAAACCTTGTATGAGGGCTAATGCTTGCTCAGTGTTGGAAGAAAGTTTTGAAGAATCTATTAGAACAAAAAATTAACTCATGATTCCGTTGATCTCCAATTTAATTTTTTGTTGTTGAAGATACTCTAAAAAGCAAAACCATTCACAACCATTGGCAACATGAAATAATAAGAGACTGTTTGGCAGTTGCTGAATGATTTGATATTTGTGAAAATAAGATAAAATAATGATATCCTTAGGATGCCATTCACAGCCATTGGCAACAGAAAATAATAAGGGCTTGTTTAGCAGTTGTTGGATGGTTTGATACATAATGATTAAGTGGTTCTTAACTTCTTATGATATAATGCAAAATGAAATATAATTGTTCATTAATTACTTACAATGAAATTAAGGTGCTGAATGGTTAACGAAAACCCATTATACAAAATCATCCAGAGGGTTTTGTAACCACTAAAAGATAGATTTTTTTTTTATCAAACAAGATTCACCTCTTAACGATTTAGATACAACCTCTTAATGGAACTATTAAAAGGTAAACAACGGCTTAAAAGACAATAACCAATCAATCTGTTGACAACTATTAAATATGATTCAAGACAACATTATGAAATAGCTTATGCATTCTATATACACCCTCACAAAAATATAGAATACATAGCAAACATTTGATCTTACATCTGAATGAATCAATAGATTTACTGAATTTGTTCGGTTTGGTTTTAACAAACATCTGAATGTGGAGTAACGTTAATGGAAAACAAATAATAATCACGAGTTATTAGATGGTTTTAGCAACTGCCGGTAGTGATTTTAGAAGCATCGGTGATGGTCGTCGTAAGGTATGATTAAGGAGGAGCATAAGAGTCAAAAGCGTTAACGCCCCGGCTTGATGGGCAGTGCCGAGTGAAACCGGCACGTAAGATAGAAGAGTTGATACGCCCAACGTAACCTGCATTTATATCGTAACGTCATTTCCGACGAACACACGATCACACACTATATCTAGAGTAAATTACGTCTTTTGTCCTTGTGGTTTGTTAATAATTGCAATTTTCGTCCCTGTAGTTTAGAAATTGCGCTTCCCGTCCATATGATTCGTAATTCATCACTATTTTCATCCTCGTAATTTACGATTTCTTGTTTCGGTCCCTGTGGGTTATAATTCTTTACTGTTTTCGTTCCTCATACTTAAAGGTAGGGATTAGTCCAGGGACGAAAATAGCAATAAATCGCAAACCATAGGGACAAAATCAAAATTTCTAAACCATAGGGATGACATAGCAATAGATCTCAAACCATAGCGAGAAAAATCAAAATTCTAAACCACAGGGACGAAAATCGTAATTTACTCGTATATCTATTTTTCTAGGGGTTAACTTGGTACGGTACCAAGTTTTTTTCTCCAATACGTGCACCAACCGGTTATAACTGGTACGTAAAATCTTATACCGTGAAAGTGATTAAATGTATGTAAAAGTTTGTGAAAGTGACTTAAAACTGTAGATAAACTTGAAGATAAAGGTAGATGAATGTAGTTGAAGATAATTGAACGTGATTGAATGTAGTTGAAGGTACTGAAAGTAGTTGCAAAAAATTAATGGCAATGGAGGATAGGATTAAATAAATTACCTGCAAGGCCGCCATCCCCATGGTGCTTCCGATCAAAGAACGAATAGCAGGATGTAGGTCGAGTTTTCTTGCCGACCACCATAAACCACCAATCGAGGCTAGGGTTGCAGTTGCAAGTATACGATGATCAAGCTGTGGAAACCAGTACACCGAGATTTAACTTCCATTATCCATGATAGTACTAAATTTGTTGAAAAGTTTGTAACATTATTCTTGATTAGAATTTAGTATGGACAAACACACACACCACTGCCATCTTACTATGCTTAAATGGCAAGCCTCCATATTACTTGGGTGGGAAAGTACAAGTGGACCAAACATTTCTTAGGGTGTATTTGGTACATACAGGACTAGATTGGCGAGATTGAAGTAGGCAGGTGAAAGAATTGCAGGCCGTTTTAGGGGTTCAATTTAACATGAGTAGTTTATTATTTTACTCCCTCAATAAATGGATAAGATGAAAACTTCACACAATTTTAAAAATGTGTAATTATTACACTCTTTTACTAAAGAGCAATTTTACTATTAATAATGGAGAGAAATTTAATATGAGGCTGTTTGGTAGGTTTTCCGTTAAGTCCTATATGGATAAAGATGTATGTGTGGATTAATCTATTTGTATAGATTGGGAAGGTTTTTGTTTGGGAGAGTTTTTTTTATAGATGAAAGAAGTGTGTTTTTAAATTGGGAGAGACATGTTTGGAAAAAACTTGGTTTTCTGCATAAAGCTCCCCCTCGATGCTTATTGCATAAGTCACTTTCTATATCATTAAGCGACTACCAAACAGTCATGTATAATAACTTACCGAATAAGCGATGAGTCTCATTAAGCTCATTAAGCTCATTAAGTTGCTAACAAGCAGGCCCTACACCTCATATTTAAGAGCATAATGGGAAAATAGACGCTTACTTTTGAAAGTGGACACTGATTTTAGGACAAACTAAAATAGAAATGTGGACAATTAATTTGGGACGGAGGGAGTACTATCTTGTCTATCTCCTAGATTTTTATTCCACCTATTTTGGTATGAAAGAATCGATAAAGGTTTTAGGGCTTTAATATGACACGAGTAGTTTAGTAATTTACTTATCTTGTCTATCTCCCTGATTTTTATTCCACCTATTTTGGTGGGAGAAAAAATGCAATTTTGTCCCACTTAGTCACGTCTTATCCAATCTAATGTAGCACCAAATGTAGGTAAACAAGTTTTTGTTCTATCTTATCTCATCCTGTCATGCATACTAAATGCACTCTTGGTGAACCTGAATTACACTAAGAGGCATGATTTGAAGTAACAATATTCATATGCTACAGTCGGATCAAATTTAACTTCCTTGGTCGTGATTAATATTTTAGCACTACCACGGGGCACGGGGTTATCATGTTCAAGTATAATAGTTCTCAACAAAAGACTATGTACCTATATTGACGGCATTCAATCTTCTAACTAAGTATAGTCCTATCTTATGTGAGGTTAAATGCATTAACTAAATACAACATTCAATCTTTCGAACATACATGAAAAGATTATGTAGCTGCCTACCTGCACAGTTGCTGTGTTCTCGAAGAAGTTGCGGATAATTGGCTTCATACTCAAAACATCTTCTGGGATCCATGAATCACCCATCTTGGGAAATGTATTAAAGGCATGTCCCTGGTGAAGTTATAACATGAATAAAGCCAAAATCAGTTCTTGAACAAAAATAAAAAATAGTTATCCAAGTAGAGGCAGGTTCAAATGAGAACCATAAATATTTTGAGAACCCTGAAAACTAGTATATGCATACATATACATATATACGCATTGATGCATATCACTATCAAAATATGTATATTCATCAACGTATATGTACTATACATTGATGAATAGTACTATCAAAATATGCATATGCACATATACATATATACATACATACATACATATATATATATATATGTATATATATATATATATGTATATATATATATATATGTATATATATATGTATGCATATGCATATAGGGTTAGGTTCCAATAAAAAGGAGAGCTAAGATGAGAAGCGTAAGAAGGGATCTCCACCCTTGGATACACATTAAGATGAGATGCACCGGATCAATCCCCGTATCAAGCGCGATTCATGGATGGGTTTGATATTAAAGGTGATCAAGGGTCCAAATCCCTTCTTACGCTTCTCACCTTAACTCTCCTTCTCACACGATCCTTCGCCTATGCATATAAAGCATTAGTGCATATACGGGGTCTCACAGTTATCAGAATATTTAGAGTTTTCTTTTGGACCTTCCCCTACCCAAATAATACGATGCAGTTCTAAAGATGTGCAAAAATTTAGTCACCGTACTGCATCATTTCCTGCAACAAAGGCTCCTGAGACCGCAGTTATACCAACGATGATGCCAACAGGAAGAGCAAACCTCTTAACTTTTGCAGCCGCATGTACCCATGCTACTGACTCAGTAGGAGGTTCGGGCATGACAACAGAAAGAGCAGTCCAGAAGAGTCCACAGTATATAGCAAAAGCCGAAGTCAAGTGAGCAGCAAGACGGTATGGACTTACTCGTGGTTGGGAGTACTCTGAGGGTGGTTCCTGATGAGAAAGTAAATTGATGATTTTGATGAGCTTCACATCCTCAATATAGATTTCATGAAGAAAGAAAGATCATACTTACTTCTAAACCACTTTTAACCATCCACCAACCGATCATCCCTTGCCCACCACCAAGAGCAAATAGACCAGCGAGTCTAACTCCAAGCCGTAGATTAATATAACCCTTTCGAATAAAATACGAAAATGGGAGAGCAAACATGACCCCCAGTGCCCTTCCCCACATACGATGTGCATATTCCATCCAATAGATGAACTTAAAATCATCAATATTCATTCCTCTGTTAATACTGCAAGTGGTCAAGATCATGTAGGATGAGTATTATTCAATCATGAGCTGCTTTCATCTAAATATTAACAGTGGATTCTAGGAATCTTGAACGGTTATCTTGTGCACTAACATATGTAGCAAAGTTATTGAGTACTCCTCATTTACACTCTCAATTGGAGCATCATCAAATTTGCAATTTTACTGTAGCATTAATATAGTGATCTGCCTGGAATGACGATCCAGAAAGATGTATCAACAATGCAATTAACGCTTAGAAACAACTAAAAATGTGCTTTGTAAGTGGTCATAATGGATCTTTTGTATATTATCATGAGCATGATCAAACTTGCTAAGATGGTTTCAGGCTCTTGGAGAAATGTAATACATTGAGACTATAGAAAATCATTTAAGAAATTAGTGTGCGTTTGGTATCCAACAGGTAGGACTAAATAGGACATGACATAGCAGTTGTTCTCGTTTGGTAAGACAAAAGTGGACATGACTGAAACACATAAAATGACCAATTTACCCATAATGAGTTGTTTATATCTTTTACATATTTTAATTAGTTTATGTAATTTATTAAATTATAATAGAATAAATATTTTTGTAACAAAATATATCATTAGAAATGTTTCGTCAAGACGATTAAAATGACACAAAAATAAAAGCTTTATGTAGTTATCAATTTTTATTTTCTACATTTTCTATATTATTTAATAAATTACATGAATTAACCAAAATATAGAAATCCTATACAAATAATATTTTGAGGACAGTAAGTTGAAAATTTAAAAAACATAAAATACAATAAATAAAATTTAAAGAATGAATAAGATGCAAGGAGGGAAGCGTATTCGACGTTTAAGAAAAGAATTAATTTTTATTTTGAGATTATATTGGTAAAATACAGGTCTGTTCCACCTCGTTTCATGGGGTGGGGGTGGAACACGTTTGTTCCACTCTATTCCGTCTGTTCCGCATAGAAGGTCTGCCAAACATGGAACAATGATCCCTATTTTGTCTTGCCCAGTATACCAAACGCACCCTTAATGTATGTTAGTGATCAATAAAAGTCAAGCAAATGTACACGTACTGGTGACTAAACTAACCGCTTGAACTCCGGAGATTGTTTATATTTCTCAAACTCCATCAACCAATCTTCATCTGATAGAGGAGGAAGGCTGCCAGTGAATTTCCAGTCAGTCATTGAAAGCCCGGATCGAGTAAGTCGTGTAACACCACCAAGAATAACCATACTGAAAACCCAAGCAGCGGATGCAAAAAGCCATATTCCTATTGCTTTCTGAGCATGAGGCCCAGCAGTAACAAGAAGCTTCACAGTCTCCTTATTTTCCTTGAAAGCGGTTGCAGCTACAGTAGACATATACTTGAAAGATGGCTTGTAGGAACCCTAATATATACAGAAACAAACCAATGAGCTGCTGATAAGTATGTCCAATTCCTACTTGAATTCAAAACAAGTGTTGACAATTCAAAACAAGAGATTCTTACAAAAGATAACCAATAGCCTACCGATCATCAAATAATATAGTATAACATATAACATGATATATCTATAATTAGAAAACTTAAAACGTATGCAATAGCAAAAAGAAAGTACTTAAAAGTTAAATCCACAAGAAGGGGACTTGGTGCCTGATTGATATTGTAAACAAACACTCTTATCCGAAAGTTATACGTCATTAACAGGACTGAAATTGTACTATATTTCAATTCATCACAAGAGCTATCTTAGGGATTATCATAGTATATAATTAGCTTATCAGTGCAAGATGAAAAATACTTGTTATAACTTATAAGCAGGACTGGCAAGAACAGAAATTGAAGATTTTTAGTATCCATACAGCTTCATTCTGTCCTGGATCATCATCAAACAAGTATACCAAGAATTGGTACATTATAATTCATCCGCAACAAAAGGAGGCACAATAATTCAACATTGTAAATTAGAATCAGAACTCAAAACTTGATTCCAAACCACAAAATGCATTATAATTGAAAATCCCAAACGAAATTCAATATCAAACACCTATCAGGGCATAATCATCAAATGTCTAATCTAAGAGTTAGAAACGTAATCATATTTCGCCAATTCAATGAACAAAATTCAGTTTATCATATTCGAACAATAATACCTTGTTGAGATTGTGCAACGATCGAAAGCCATCGATGAAACAGCTTCTCGCAATGGGGTTAGCAACATGCTTATAAGTTGAATAACGGTCAAAAGCAAATCGACTATAAATATTTGTCGATCCTCCGTGAGATGAAAACGACGATCTTATCTGATTAATGGATTTGCTCCTCCTTATAATCGTAATCAATCTGCTCTCCAACATTTCTTCAGTTCTTTTTCCTTTCTGCTGCTAGGGTTTAGAATCTCAAGCGACGAGGTTTAAGAATAAATAGTGAACCGGCCGGTTCAGTCATAGCAGAAACGTGGATAGCAGGTAGCCATGAAAATAGTATGTTGGAACCTAACGACGCATAAAGAATTCGTTGTGAGGAGAAATGAAACAAAACCTGTTATTTTGAGCTTCTGATCTTCAACAAATTGAAATCGAAGCCAAAAATCAAGTGAATCGAATGTTGCAGTGGCAAAACAATGAAATGATTTGTGCAATGCATGGAAGAGACGGACGAACCTGAATTGAAGCTTTCTTGGTTATGGCGATTCGAAGGTTAATCTTATATGTCTTGGAGCTTTATCTATGGTGCCGCCGCTAGGGTTTTTCATTCGCAGGATTCCGGCGAAGACATTTGATATCGCATTTTTAAGATCAAATTAATAAATGGGGAGGACACTGAGGTGGCGATCGTTTTTTTTTTTTTTTTTTTATTACGGACAAGAAAAAAAAAGTGGTATTAAAGTCTGAAATTTGAATAATAAAAGTTTATTTTTGTAAATTGATAAATGTATTAAATCTGGAATCTTAATCAATAACCTATTTTTGAAAAATTAAGTGTAAATATTTTGCAAAATTCTCTTGAATTTTATAAAATTTCTTTTGTCAAAATTTATGTCAACAATTGTTTAGTAGATGGAATACAAAGGTCGATACTTTTAATAGAGGATGAATCATCGTTAAACATCCTTGTTTCATATTAATCTTCCAAGCTAATAAATTATATATACACACACACACATATATATATATATAGAGAGAGAGAGAGAGAGGAGGGGACGTGCATTTTACATGGGTGATGAAAGAACGGTGACGTCCTTGATGGAGAAAGAAACAATAGCCAAAGAGAATAAAAAAGAAAAAAACAAGTGAATTAAAATATTAGTTTACCTCTTATTTATTCAGACCCTATTAGGGAGTGTTTGGGATTGCTTATAAAAGCTGTTTTTAACTTATTTCAGTCTGACACCGGTGATAAGCTGTTTTTTAACTTATTTCAGTCTGGCACCGGTGATAAGCTGTTTTTTAGTGTTTGGATAAGAAAAAAAAACTGCTTATACAAGTGCCAAACCGGTAATAAGCTATTTTTGATAAGTTAATCTTTCATGACTTAAGAAAAACTGTTTATTACCAGTTTACAATTTTAACCTTGTTTTATTTTACTCCGGTTGGATACCACATAAGTTAATAAACACTTTTACAAAAAAATATAAATTGTTTTAAATAAGCAATCCCAAACTGACAATGGGCTCTGGAAAAAAAAACAACAAAAAAAACAGTCTAAATTACAAAACATCTGAACGAATAAAACATAAATAGTAATTAAGGCTGAAAATGAAAAAAATTACAACTCAGTAAATTAGATTGTTAAATACATTTCTATATGGTACTTTCTTCTTCATACACATTAATATTAAAACTCATATTTACATTTGATTTTAATATTAAAGGAATGCAAATAACAATCAATTAATAAATTCAGAATAAATGCATAGAATAGTATCATACTTTCATATATATTTTTTTGTATTATACCTCCATTTTTTTAGTGAATTGTGGCTTTGGTTCCTGTGAAGGCTGTTTGTTTACCTCTTAATAGTTCCATTAAAAGGTGAATCTTGTTTGACAAAAAAAATCTGTTTCTTAATGGTTCTAAAACCCTCTGAATAATTTTGTATCTTGCGCCTCCCTTAACCATTCAATACCCTATTTTCATTTTGAATAATTATTAAATAATTATATTTCATTTTACACTATATTATAAAAGCATTTTAATCATTTTAACCATATAATCATTCAATAACTATCAAACAAACTCTTAGTCTCTATGATATAGATTAATATGTCTTTATAATCAGAAATATTTTTGTTCGAAAAAAGTTTTTTCATTAATAAAACAATTGTGTTTTTTATCGGACTTAGAAAAAACTTGATTTTTTATAGAACTTTTTAAATAAATCATTTTTATAGAAGTAATCTACTATTAAACAGCCATGTAATAAATTGTGAATACCATTAATTTATTAAACACCTTAACTATTTATTTATCTCTTAATAGTTCTATTAAAAGACAACATATGAATCGTTAAGGGTTGAATCATATATGACAAAAAAAGTCTCTCTTTTAATGGTCATAACTCTCTGAATGATTTTGTATCTTGCGTTTTCCTAAACTATTCAGCGCTCCAATTTTATTCTGAACAATTACCAAACTGTATTTCATTTTGAAGAACATTTTAATCATTCTGATAACTTAATCATCATATACCAAACCATTTAGCAATTGTAAAACAAAGACTAATTCGACCTCTCTCTCTCTCTCTCTCTCTATATATATATATATATATATATATATATATGGTTGGGTTCATGTGAGACCAGCCTGTTTTCGTGAGACCCGTGAGACCACATTTTTACACGTAAACTTCACAGCAAAAACATTGTGAAGGTTAAAAAAAGTCACTTTCACAGCATTTTGCTGTGAAGTTTCAAGTGTAAAAAGGTGGTTTCACGGGTCTCACGAAAACATGCTGCTCTCACATGATCCCAAATATATATAGTTTGTTTCAAATACAACACATCATATTTGTACAACCAATGCAACCCAATAAATTGAGATATTTATGGAAATAATGAAAGTTCATTTATTATTATTTGAATATTTATGGAAGATGAATATGGTTTATTAATTATGATCAATACTTTATATTATGAAACAATCAAATTTTTTATGAAATCACATATTAATCAAATGAAATGGACGGTTGAGATTGGATTGTATTGTTTGCACAAATATCAAAGTTGTACAATAACCAATATATATATATATATATATATATATATATATATATATATATATATTGGATATCTTCTAGAAGCAACATAGAAACAGACTCCCGTGCTTCACTGACCCCACCTCCTCCATAGTAACCCACCACCACCCTTTCCCCCTTCCACTCGACGCTCACTAAACACTAATCCAAAACTAAAACATGATCGCCGGAATCTCTCCTCTCCGCCTACCTCCTCCCAATTCCAACGGATCTACCTCGTTCCACGCCGTACTGAAGGCGAAACCGGTGGTGGAGCAGGCGTTTAGGAGGAGATCGGAGAATCTATATGAAGTTTTACGAATCGGAAGAAACGCTACTACAACGGAAATAAAAACGGCGTACCGTAGTTTAGCGAAAGTTTACCATCCGGATGCGTTGGAATTCACGTCGCACGGCGGCGACTGTGATTTTATTGAAATTCATAAGGCTTACGCGACGTTATCTGATCCGGAGGCACGAGCGATGTATGATCTAAAATGGAGACGGAGATCGGGAATGTATTCGGTTGTCGGAAAGAGGCCGGGGTTTTACGCCGGCGGCCGGCGATGGGAGACCGATCAGTGTTGGTAGATGATCGATCTTCTCGGAGGCGAAATATTGTATAGAATTATTATAAAAGAAACTAAATAAAAAAATAAAAAAAATCATGTAAATTCCATGTATTTTTTCTCTAATTTTTATATAAATATTTTAGTCCTGAAAATGAGATATTAATTTTGTTATATTTCATTAAAATTCGATATTTATTAAAAAACAGTAAAAACTAAAATTAAACGCCATTTCATCCCCTCAATTAAGAGCAACTTGCAAATAGGCATGATAACAGGACGAGATGGGAGAGTTTTTTAATCCCCGACCTCGGTTTCTATGAACAGCCCCCGATAGGTATAGGGATTAATATTCCGTTCTCGGTTTATTTTTTGGTCAAATCCTGGTTCTCATTCTCGGTCAAGACCTAATTTTAGAAAATAAATAATATATATATATATATATATATATATATATATACACACACATATATTATATAAAATACATTAATAAAATTATATACCAGGTATGGGGCGGGACGGGGATATGCTACCCGGCCCAATTCAGGTTTGAGTCTACCGGGGATCTTGGGGCCAGTTTTAGTGGGGAATTTCCGTCTCCATTCGAGTCGGGTGAGTCAGGTTTCCATCGGGTTGGGACAAATCACCATCCCCTACTTACAAATTCCTTTTTTAATGGATTAGTTAGGGCACTTGCAAATTCTTTAGACCTTTTTTTAACACAATTAGTTAGAGAAATGAATTGAAAACCATGGTGATTAAAAAAGCAAAATTTAAAGATCAAAGATGAAATAGCAATCAACAACAAACCAGAGGGACGAAATTCATAGTTCAATTTTAGGGACTGTTTGGTAGTTGTTAAATGGTTTGATGTATAATGGTTAAGTGATCAGAATGATTAAGAGACTCTTATGATATAATGCAAAATGAAATATAATTGTTTGATGATTGTTTACAATGAAATTAGGGCGCTGAATGGATAAGGAAAACCCAAAATGCAAAATCATTCAGAAGCAAGCTTTTTATGCCAAACAAGATTCACCTCTTAACGATTCAGGTGTTGTCTCTTAATAGAACTATTAAGAGATAAACAAACGACCCATTTTCATGTTTTATATATTTTAGAAAAACTTCAATCTACACTTTCATAATGCCACCAAAATCATTTAAAAAAAGATCAAGAAACTTGAAATAAAACCGGTCCGATACAAAGGATAACCCCCAATCCATACATCCATGTAATGTGGGGAGAGGTTAAACCAGAAAACTAATACAGATTTGTACAAAATTTCCTCTTATAGATTCGTTACAGGCTCCTAAGCGTTGAGTTGACGAGTTTCATCACGACACGTATGCTCGACAGCTCCGCAACTGAAGTCGTGGGAAGAAGACTCGCCTGATGGTTTAGCATCGACTGCACTTGTTCAAATATCGGTCTTACGTGCATCGCGATGATACCATCCGACGGTTTTATGGCCACAACCAAATCCATCATCCAACCGAGCTTCTTTGATGTATCGTTCACAATATCACATGCCAACTGCTGTAGCAAAGATAGCAGTACGCCTTGACTTAGAGGGATGGGATTTCTCGTTAATATCCCCTGTAGATCAACCTACACGAAACCACCACCACTGGGTTAAATTCCCGCATGCCAAATATATTTGTTTGGTTGGTTTTCCATTAAGTCCTGTGTGGATAAAGCAGTCTGTGGATTGAGGAAGTCTTTGTTTGGGATGGTTTTTTCAAAGATGGAAGAGAGTATTTAGGTTTGGAAAAAACTTGGCCATCTGCATAGAGCTCCCTCCTAGAAGTTTACTGAAAAGCCGCTTTCTATATCATTAAGCAACTACCAAACAGTCATGCATAGCTGACCAAATAAACTACGAGTCCCATCTCATTAAGTTGCTTACAAACATGTCCTAAGTCCTGTACGAATATAACTATCTATGTGGATTAATCTCTCTATCTGGATTGGGAAAGTTTATGTCCTATAAAAAAAGCTAAGACACTTCCGTTCAAAAGGAACCTGTTAAAGATGACTAGGAGTGTTCGTGGTGCGGTTTACAAAACCGCAAACCGCAACATATATGCGGTTTGAGCATTTACCCAAACCGCAAACCGCACCGCATATACTTCAAACCGCAAAAAGAACTGCACCACATATACTTCAAACAGCAAAAAACCGCACCACATATACTTCAAACCGCAAAAAATTCGTGGTGCGATGCGGTTCATACCTATCGCATTTCACGCCTAAAACTTCATTATAAAAGCAACTATAACGTGCCCGTAGTCCAAAAAGGGTAAAAAGTTCCAATTGGGCAAGCGTCGATTGAAGTTATATGAAGGTGATTGAAGTTTGAAATCGTGAGTATGATGTCGACTGTAACTAAAAATTGAAATCTTTTGAAACTTGAGACTTGAGAGTAAACTAGCGCAGAAGCCCCAAATTCATATGACCTAATCGTGGATGTTTGCTTATAGCCTACAAGTGTTTAATGGATTATAGGGCTATAATTTATTAATATTAAATTAAAGTCCAAAACTTTCGGCTTATTAATGGTCCATGGAGAAAATAGATTAAAAATATTACATAAATCAGCAATTATTTTATATATGTTATACATAAAATATGCGGTGCGGTGCGGTGCGGTGCGGTTTAAACCATCGTTTGATAACTTAAAACCGTAAACCACGTCATATAGTGCGGTTTAGTAAAAAAGCAAACCGCACTATGGAAGTCCTAAACCACGTTTTGTGGTGCGTTGTGAGTGGTTTGTGCGGTTTGGCTGTTTAGATGAACACCCCTTAGATGACCAAATACTATTGTAAATTGACCTTTATGAAGAACGCACAATTATTTGGAACTTTAAACGTAAGTCCTATAACAATCTAATAGAACATTTAGACATCTTTAGCGTCTTTATAAAACCGATTTTGTTGTAGTGGAGATTATCACAAACTTACATATGATAAAAAGAAAACGGGTTTTGCAAGACATACCTGAGAGCATAACCAAGAAACAATTTGAACATCACTTCTTTGCAGGGCGGTCGTAAAAGCCTCCTCGTATTTGTGCTCATATATCAATCTCGATAGCTCTTTTGCGGGATCCACCGGAGCTTCAATCTATTTCAAGAGAAGCCTAAGAATATCAGGATATCGGAATCTTGACCGTTGTAACATAACAGAGATCATTAACCCACCTTCTCGTGGAAACCACCTGAAGGCCCGTTGCTTATCAATGGATTTACCAATTTAGAAGTTGCTCCGGCAACTGCAAGAGCCATCAATTTCCTTTGACCGTCACTCAACTCATTGCTTAGTATTTGAGTCACAGATGATGCCGAATTTATGGTATCCTGAAAAACCAACATAACCTCGATTAACATACAATTTAGAGGAAATGAAAAAACACGAAGATTGATATATCTTCGAATAGCGAAGGTTCTAATGAGAACTATAAATATTTTGAAAACTTGGGAACCAACTATGCATGATAAATGTCGTGATAAACATTCATGATGAAAATACATGATATTTATGATAGAAATGCATGATATCATGAACAACGCAAATGCATAATATTCATTATTCATGATAAGGCAAGTTTTGCTAGGAACGTAATTTTCATCAGGAACCGTCCACAACGCGACACATGGCATATTCATCAGAAATATGGATGTGTTACTCATCATGCATGTTATAGCATATTCATCGTGGATGTTATAGCATACTCATCATGAATGTTATAGCATATTCATCGTGAATGTGTAATTCATGATGAATATTCATACTGAATAGGGACACGTGTCGCACGCATTGTGAACGGTTCTCGGGTTCCTAATCAACTTTGGTTTCCTAATGGAACTTCCTTCATTCATGATTATTCAAAGTTATTCATAATGAATAATACATTAAATAATTGGTCCCCTGTTCTCAAAATATTTATAGTTCTCATTTTAACCTTCCTCATCTTCAAATAACCGAAAAACATCAAAGAATGAAAAGGGGTCATAATTGCCATGTTTTCTTACCCTCAAAGCAAACACCAAAGGCGAATGCACGGATTCAGCTTGCCGCTGAGCTGCACTTGTATGTTCAACGATTCCGTTCTGAAATGTAGCATCAACTTGATCAAACATGGTCTTACAAGACATCTCAAAGGCAGGAATAACTGAAGCCTCCATACTCGACTTCAATGCTTCCTGCAAAAAAAGTGGAGGTTCAAATCATCAATATCCGGCAACCAGCATTTGGAGTTCTTATATGAACCCGGTTTTACAAGGATACCCATGAATTTATCCTTCCAACATAGATTAAAAAACAGTTCCTACAGGGCGTGTTTATCAAAATAGGACAAGGCAGAACATGACAGAAGCATTTGGGTAATACAAAACCGGACAGGACAGAACAGGTAAAATGACTTTTCTATATCTTTTATATATTTTGATTAATTTACATAATTTATTAAATTGTAATAAAATATTAAAGAATGAATAAAATGCAAAGATGGAGTTGAATTTGATGTTTTATAAGAGAATCGAGTTTTATTTTAAGAGTATATTGGTAAAATATAGGTTTGTTCCACCTTGTTCCATCAGGTGGGGGTGGAACACGCTTGTTCCACTCTATCCCACATAGAAGTCCAGTCAAGCGTAGAAAGGTGATCCCTGCTTTGTCCTGTTCAGTTTACAAGACGCACCTATAGAGTGTGTTTGGTAAGCAGAATGGGACTAGACAGACGAGATTGAGTTGGGCGGATGAAAGAATTGTGCAAGTCTTTAGGGTTTTGGTTTTAATTTGAAAGGGGTAGTTTAGTAATTTACCAATCTTGTTTTGTGTCACTGATTTTTGTTCCACCTATTTTCGTGGGACAAAAAAACGCATTTTGGGTTTAGAAACAGTCACTTGAATCACATACCTGCAGAGCTTGTCTGCCAGAAGTTTGAAATTGAGCTTGAATTTGCCTAGAAACGTTAGCTTCGAGTTTAGAATTCACCGTTTTCTCCAGTTGATTTACAGCCTTATCACCTATGCCTCTCTGCAAACAAATTTTAATTAGATTTCTATAGATAGAAAACATGCTAACGAGAACTTTCATGTTGCCAAAAGGGTCATCGGCCCAGCCTCCCAAAAGGTCAAGGGCCAAATGTCACCAAGGATAAGGGTGTGCATAAGTATTTACCATGTATATATATTATATAATAGGGAAAATGACCAAAATAGCCAACCTCCCCAACCAACTTCATTTCTTAGCCACTTTTTCAATTGAATTCCCATTTTAGCCGGAATTTACGCAAATGTCTTATACATTTGCGTAAACTCGATTTTCAGATTAAAAAAAAGGAAAAAGAATTTGCGTAACGATTCAGATTTCTGCGTAAGGTTTTTAAATTTTTGCGTAAAAATCCTTACACATGCGTAAGGATTTTCTTTTTCTTTTTGTTACTTCCAGAAATCAGTCTTTACACAAATGCGTAAAGACAAGACTATTTTGGGAAGAGGCTCTGAAAAATGGCTAAAAAGTGAATTTGGTTGATGATTGGCTATTTCAGCCAATATCCCTATGTAATATTATATGCTTCAAGAAAAGATTTTTTTTATGTTAAAGGTCCGGTAACCTGGAAAGACTCCGAAACAGCTGTGGAGACTGCCTTCTCGATAACTGGAGTAACAGAGCGCCCAATAACCGACACGGCTGCAGCCATTTCCTTCTTCATCGATTTCTCCGATGCAGCAAGCAAATCTTTATGGCCATTTGAGGCTGAAGTTGAAATTTGCTGATGGCGGTCTCGGTTGGTTTTTTCCTGTTTCGCAAATTCTTCTTGAGTACGAGCCCACCAAGCATCGGAATTAGCTTTATATATTTTCTCCATGCTCTTGCCAACGACTGCCTCGATTCTTTTCCCTTCTTTCGTAATTGGGCTAGCAGCCATCACGGGAATCTGCTTTTGGATTTCCTTTTGACTGATCAAAACCTGCAGTTGAAATATCGTCGACTCATGCTCAAATCTTTTTTCAATGTTTGAGCTTGATGCTCGTTTATGAGCTCGAACTCGAGGTCGATTAACTCGTTTATTTGCTCAAACTCAGCTGATTTTATATTTTCATTATATAATTTATATAAATATAAATATGTATGGCTCGAAAAAAAGTGTAAGCCCAAATGGCTCTACTCGTAAAGTAGAATCGAGCTTTCGAACGTGTCGAGTCGAACATTGGTGTTATGGAGCTCGACTCGTTACGTTAAGCGAGTTCTATTTTGCGTTCGAGACTGACTCGAGCTTGAGAATTATTAAACGCGAGCTTGAAATAAACAAGCTCGAGTAGCTCGTTAAAAGCTCGACTTGTTTACACCCCTAGGTACGCAGATGGCACTGACCTGCAAGAGTGAGGTAGGCGGGTAAAAGAATTGGGGAAGGTTTTAGGGTATTAATTCTGACATTTATATTCACCTGATTAATTGTTGCTTGCATGGACTGAATTTGTGAAAGTATGGCTTCCGCCGAGGGAATACTTGAACTCGCTCCTAGTTCATCGGAAGAATCAATCGACTTTAAGGCTCTCAATGTTTGAACATTCTTTCCCTTCTGTTTTTTGGCTCTCGAAGTGGGAGCCGCCGACTGAACCATTCCTGGCACGGTCGGCTGGACAGGTCCTGATAGATCAGTTGCCGTGTCTTGACCGTCATCCCGAGCATCGGAAGTTTGATCCACCACCTTGCTTTCTACAATCTCATTAAGTTGTTTCGACTCCTTAACCATATAAGTTTCCCGAGGTTCGACATGGTTATCTCGTGCCATATCGAGCCCAAGACCCGATGCTTGTGACGAGAAAGATTTTTCCTTCACTTCAAAAGCCGAACCATGCAATTCACCTTGGAGAGCAGAATCGGCATTTTGACTAATTCCCATTTTGCCCATAACCTTAATCTCCGCCTCAACATTCTTTGTAGCGGAGTTTACTGCCACATCATCCGTAACATGATTGACTTCAGAGGATGATGTGGCCATCAATTCGGCAGGAGTTACGAGATGAGTTGGATGCTTAAACTTGACTGTTCGATCAGGGATGGTGGAACCATCATCTTTTGCAACTTTGTTTTCGGTCCTTATATCATCATCCAACGAAACCACACTAGATAGGTTCGAATGAGCAGCTTCCAATTCCATAATCTTCTGATCGCCATAACCATTTAGTTGATTACGAGGCTCAAAACCACTAGACGGACTTCTAAAATCTGATAATTTTCCCGACAACTTAGGGCTCGTCGGAACAGTTGGTGATACAACACACGAGATATCAGTATCGTTAGCAATCGGAGATGGGATGGATTTCGCTTCAGCACCTGATGTAAAAAGTCCCTTCGAGATGGCAACATCGGTCAAAGGCGAACTGACGGGCTGGCTCAATGTAGGTGCACCTTCCGAGCCAATCTCATCCAATTTACCTCCAGAAGTTTCCGAGCCACTACAACCTTCGGTCGAACCGGATTTCTCATGCACAACATCATAAATCGGCGGTGGTAGGCACTGAGATAAGTCCAAAGCATATTGTTGAATGGCTTGTGTTTGGACACAATAAACCTGAACAATGTGCTCCCCATGTAGTAATAGATGGCTAGTGCCGGTAAAGCTCAATATCGGCATAGTGACGGTGAATTCGGCAATGTAATCCATTCGGGTCGATTCTGGATTGGGACCATATTCCAAGTGTACGGCATAAATGGCGTTTTTTTTGGCATTTGCTAGTAAGAGAAGACCAGCTTGAGATAACGCAACCACTTGATTGAAAAACGCATCTTCGACTCTCGGTTCGGCAAAACTCTTTAATTCCAACGTTTGAGTACAGTGCCATGAATCCGCATCACTTGGAAGCAACCATCCTTCTTCACTTTCCGAGGCCCATATTTTCACTTCACGATTCAACGGACCCTGCAACCATCTTCCAAAATATCAGAATGAATAAAGTATCATCCCCCCGCCCTCACTAATCCCGACGGGTTTGGAGAAGCCGTTGGGTACCCGTTTAGTAAAAAAAAAAAAACAATATAAACAATGTATTTTAAAATTAAAACTATAATGAATCATCACTACATTAATTACAAATGTTGAAAACCAAATATATAGCTGACCGAATATATATCATTAAGGCACTACCAAACAGTTATGAATAGCTGACCGAATAAGCTGTCAGTCCCATTAACCTCATTAAGCTGCTAACAAACATGCCATAAACTTTTCTAGGGGGAAGCCAAGTTTTTTCCAAGCCTGTCCATCCCAATTAAAAAACATGCTCCTTCCATCTATGAAAAAACCTTCCCGAACAAAAATCTTCACAATCTATACAAACAAATTAATCCACACAAACAGCTTTATCCATACAGGACTTAATAGAAAACCAACTAAACAGCCCCTCAAGGAGGTTAAGGGGCCATTTACCAAACGCTTACCCGGATAAGCGCTTACCAAGTCACATTAACTTACCGAATGAATATGGCAAGGACCAGTAATATTTATCCGTTAAGAGCGACGATAAGGACAAGGGTCTTATCTGGTAAGTGAAGGGTGATGACTCTTAGCACGGCTAGCGTTTATATTGTAAATTGTTGCATACGATACCGTTTTGATGGATTAAAATCTTACCCCGTAAGTAAGTGATAGTGTTGAATTTTACCGGTAAACGCTTACCCGAGTAAGGGTTTGGTAAACAGACCCTAAGCCTGCTAAATGGCCAAGGAGCAAAACGAAGGGCTTCTTGCATATTACACCCAATTAATTCTTACCATTTCACCGTATTAAAATATATAGGCAAACAAACTACTACGGGAAACAATATGGACCCTACCTTATAGCTTACTTTGTTGTCCAAATTTAACGAAGAGCATGTCACCGAAAGAAAATTGGTTTAGCACATACCCCAGTGATAAGTATGATGTGATCTGGCCGATGAGGAGCAGTCAAGAATGTAACGGAGTTCACAGGAAGACCATCGTATGGCCTCAGTACTGCAATTGGTGACGATTTGTGATCTTCCCAGATCTTTATCTGTTCAACCAAAAAGAATTCATAATTTTTTTTAAGAAGCAATAATAAGAAATAAAAGAACATATACTATTGCAAAAAAAAAAATTCTAATTTCATGCAATTGTTTTTCAAACCCGTTTCCGGTTGAGCTCAGATTCGAGATTTCATTGGCTCAATGATTGGTTGATTTTCCATTAGGTCCTGTATGGCCAAAGTTGTATGTGTGGATTAATCTGTCCATATATATTGCAAAGGTTTTTTCATAGATGGAAGGAGCGTGTTTTTTATTTCGAAGGGGCGGGTTTGGAAAAAAACTTGGCTTTCTGCATAAAACTCTCTCCTAGAAGCTTACTGAATAAACCAGTTTCTATATCATTAAGCCACTACCAAACAGTCATATATAGCTGACCGAATAAACTGTGAGTCCCACTAACCTCATTAAGCTGCAAACAAGCAAGCCTTATATGAGGCAATAGAATTCAGGATATAATGATATATGACCAACTATTTCACATAATAAACACTTACAAATTGACTGCCCTTCCATTCAAATAATCAAGAATGGAACATATGATTTATAGCCGTTACTTACGTGTAAACCTAAAACAACACGAACTAACCTAAGGAAAGATTTATTTTTTTTACAATGAGCAATTCCTGTGACGCCAACTTATTCATATATGAATCAAAGATAAATGGGTGTTCATCATTTCGAGAAACTTTATTTAAGAATCAAAGAACATGGCAACCCTCCTTTAGTACTTTATGTGCATAATTAACTATGTTGTTGCAATGGTCAAAATACCAAATCGTGGTCAGTATTGTGATTTAAAATAGCGATTATCGCGGTGATATAGCAGTCAAAACATAGTGATTTCATATAAAATATTTAAAAATATGTACATAACATATATATATATATATATATATATATATATCATAAAATATAAATAACTCAACATGTTATGTGCAATCAATATAAAAAAGAAATTTACTAATAGACTTAGAATGATGGTGGAAGGATTTAGGAAACGTGGTTGAATGCTCGATGATGTTGAAACCCTAAATCTTCTAATCGATAAAGATATATAGATGGATTAAATGATTTTAATCATCAAAAAGAACAAGTCTTAAGTCCAAAAACAAGTACAAGTCCAAAAAGAGCTTGAACTTGTTGAGTATTTGAGCAAAGTCGCTCCGCCTTTTTGCCAACTGAGCTACATGCCCGAGGGCCATGGAATCTACATATTACTATTAAACAATGATTCTTATTACAACCATATGTAGATAACTAGATATTTGATCTATATAACTATGTATGTCGTTAGTCTCCTAGGAGGTCAGGGGTTCAAACCTGTGAGTTTATTTGTTTTATTTGCCGTATATAAATATTATATACTTCAAAAAATGTATGTCACTTGTATGCTAAAACTTAAATGAAGTAACGAATGTCATAACAAATATTTAATAAATTCAAAACATGGGACATTCTCAGGCTATTGGCTATAGTTGACTATAGATTTTCTTCCAATGAACATAACAAACACACAAGATACCATTCCTATCAAGATTTCCCAATTCATTGACTTATATAACAGATAACATGTTTGGCATAAGAGCTCTCTCTCTCTCTATGAATCTATAGAGAGAGAGGAGAGAGATATTTTACAAACCCAACCATTAGTACAAACCAATTAATTGTGATATTTATAGAAATGATGAGAGTTTACTTACTATGATTTGGATATTTATGGAAGAATATCATAGTTCAATTTATGGGCAACGTTTTATATTAGGAAACAATCGAGATATCCAATGAATATGATATTCATTAGACTAGATGAACGGTTGAGATGGTTTGTACTAATGGTTGGGTTTGTAAATGAAACCACCTCCCCCTCTCTCTCTCTCTCTCTCTCTCTATATATATATATATATATATATATAACCAAACCGAACAACCCCAGCCCAATAAAGAGAGGTTTTTCTGGTGAAGACCTCGACTTGCTAAAGAGTTTGTTAAAAAAAGGTTTTATGAAAAAAAAAACGGTTATAAAATATAAACTACCCTGAAAAAAGATTGAAGAGTAAAATAGGGCTTCAAACAAACTTGGGCAAATGAGATGCTTGGATGCGTGTGTATAATATTGTTTGGCACAAAAATACACTTCATCCATCTAAAAAGAAAAAAAGAATAGTATAATCAAACTTTTGAGCGTTAAATTATCTATTTTATTTTGGTTATGCAAATGCCTGATTATTAAAATAAGAATGCTTTGGGTTTACAAAACTAAAATACATTGATCATTTTAAATTCCCACTCTCACCCCCACCCACCTTCAGGTATATCTAGGTAGGTTTGGTTTGGTTTTGAATTCCAGAAGCAATAGATTAAGCTTCCAAAACCAGAAGTGGACTATTGGGGAGGCCAGGAGGGGATAATACAAGGCTGAAAATAGTGTTCAATCCCTAGTCACTCTATGATTGTAAATATTATTCCATTATGTATGTATCACTTTTAGTGGTTTACTTTATATAAGCAACAGTCGTTTTCGCAAAGAAAATATTTTTTTTGCAAACTAGGGGTCTTCAAGGAAACAGTATCTCTACTGTACCTATTGTGGTCCATTGTAACACAAAATTTGTTGCATTCTAAGATAAATCATAATAAAAATTGATAAAATCAGTCTTTACAGAAACAACCACTCTACCCTTTTGGCCAGAGGTCCGGTGTGCATACATCTTACCCCCTCAAGACTCCACCTCTGGGTGAGTCATATTGAGTTCGTATGGTTTGGTCTTATAAAATCACAAGTCGAACCAAATATACGTTAAAAGTTCCAAAACCAAACCGCTTAAGATAGGACCCAAGACCATGTGGTTGTGCTTTTGTATGGTCTTAACTATTTTTGCTTTTCCTCATCCCCCCACGTCCCCTTATTACAAGCATTTGATGGGTAAGGTCCAATTTATATTAAAGTCAAACCCGACGATCTACGATCCTTTCAGGTGTCTGCGGCCCTGCCTAGCAAATTCCATAAAACAATTGCCTTACTTTACCCTAAAAGGTATGCTAACTAAACTATATCAATAGCTCAACAATGTTGAGTATGAAATTGGCAAAGAAGCATATTGCTATTTAGTAATAAGGTAAGATTAGACTTAGGGCCAGTTCGTTAGCAGCTTAATGAGCTTAATAGGACTCATCACTTATTCAGTCATCTATACCTGATTGTTTGGTAGTGGCTTAATGATATAAAAAGTGACTTATTCAGTAAGCTTCTACAAGAAAACTTTATGCCAGAAAACCAAGTTTTTTCCAAACCTTCCCTTCCCAATTAAAAAACACGCTCCTTCATATGAAAAGACCCTCCCAAACAAAAATGTTCCCAATCTATACTGACAGATTAATCCACAGACAGTTTTATCCATATAGGACTTAATGGAAAACCAACCAAACAGCTCCTTTAAGGCATCTAGCAATAGTGCATATGATAAGGAAACACATTGATGACAACTCACCGTTCCATCTACCGAAGCAGAAACCAAACGAGTTGTCATCCATTGGCACATTGAGAGATCCGTCACTTCACCATCATGCTTACCAACAAACTGAACTCCATCAATCAACTTATCAACAGAACATTTGAGAGGTTCCTCTGCAGTATATGCTTCCCCTCTACCAACCTTTGTAGTATCAAGTCTAAGAATCCGCTTGCCAATTCCAACCACAAGAACTTCCTGCAATTCATGGAAACTCTCATAGAATGAAAATTTATGCCACAAAGGTATAACCTAAAATCTAGTACGAAGACAGAATTAAGGGTGTGTTTGGTACACTGGACAGGACAGAACATTCTTCCACGTTGGCAGGACTTTTTTGTGGTACAGACAAGAACATATGGAACAGGCCTGTTCCCCTCCCAGCCCAGGGAACAAGGCGGAACAGACCTATATTTTACCGATATAACCTCGAAATAAAACCTAATTCTCTTCTTAAAGATCAAATAGCGTCCCTCTTTACATTTTATTTATTCTCTAAATTTTACTTTTTCTATTTTTATGCTCTTTAAACTTTCACTGTATTGTCCTCGAAATATTATTTTTATACGATTTCTATATTTTGATTAATTTATGTAATGCATTAAATATTAATAATAATAAAATAATATAGAAAAGGTATAAGATAAAATTGGAAACTACATAACTTTTTATTTTGGTGTCATTTTAATTGTTTGACGAAAACTTCCTAATGATATATTTTGTTATAAAAAATGTTTATTTATTATAGTTTAATAAATTACATAATTTAATCAAAATATATAAATAACTCATTAGGGGTAAATTGGTTATTTATCTATTATGTCCTGTCCAGTTCTTACCAAATGCTGAACATTTGTCTTGTCATTACTGGATACCAAACACACCCTAAATCACTAATGTAAAAAAGAATCAATGAGTCTTGGGGAAACATTACTTGTTTATGGCAGTGCCAACAAACTCGAGGATGAAAGGGTTCTCCTTCTCCTACAATTTGTACGGCAATAACTATCTTTCCTGTAATCAGTGGCTTATCATCCTCATCAGGTCCTTCTGTAATCTTCCACACGTAAACTCGCCCATCCATGCTTGCACTGCATACAAGCATGCCAGTATAAACCAGAGACAAATCAAGAAAATAGATAATCTTTAAATGAGCTCCTACCTGGCTAAAAGGTGAACATCCTCTGCAAAGAAAGCCATATCTGTAACCCTCTGAGAAAGAAAGATAAATATTTCAATGAATATGATAATGTGACCTTCTATCATTTGAAACAGGTGACACAAAAGCTTCCAGACACACAAGAACATATTTTAGAATTACCCTCACATTCATTCAAGAACAATTTAGTTTCACTTAAGAGATCACAATTAAAACCACTATCTTTTGTATTGCAACATTAGATAAGGGGATGTTGGGTTGGTTTTCCATCAAGTCTTGTATGGATAAAGTTGTCTATGTTAATTAATTTGTCCGTATCGATTGAGAAAGCTTTTGTTTGAGATGGTCTTTTCATATATGGAAGGAGCGTATTTTTTAATTGGGAGGGGCAGGTTTGGAAAATATTTGGTTTTCTGCATAAAGTTCCCCCTAGAAGCTTACTGAATAAACCATTTTCTATATCATTAAGCTACTACCAAAAAATCATGTATAGCTGACCTAATAAGTTGCAAATGCCATTAAGCTTGGTAATTGGTAAGACCATAATGCTCCATCAAGAAAAGGTAAAAATAACATTTTCATGGAATTCCAAGGACACTCATGTACGACAGAGAGTTTATCTACATTGAATAGTCATCAATAGCCAGATATGGTTGTAAGTCCAAAACTGGCATGCGAATTTACGTCAAGAAGTGCGATTTGAATCATAACAATCAAGAGAAGACATTGTGAGCCTTGACGACATGTTTGCCAACCATAAGCTAGCTTATTTTATTTTTTGAAATATCGAAAAACCGCTGTACGGTTTTTGCCATAAGTTATCAGCTAGCTTTCTTAAAAGCTACTTTAATCTGCATTTGTTCAAATTAAAATGGAACTGAAAATTTCATAATCCACGAAGGGCCTGTTTGTTAGCAGCTTAATAAACTTAATGAGAGCTTATTTGGTCAGTTATTAGGGCAGCTATACATGACTGTTTGGTAGTGGCTTAATGATATAGAATTTGGCTTATTCAGTATAGAGTTTCAAGCTAAAAGCCAAGTTCTTTTCCGAACCTGCCGTTCCGGATTAAACATGTGTTTTCCATCTATGAAACCCTCTCAAATAAAAACTTCTCAATCTATACAGACATATTAATTTACACATACAACTTTATCCATACATTAAGCCCCTAAACCTGTTAAAAAGGGAACGAACCTGAGCAAGACCTTTAAGCAGCGACCTTAATGCAGTGTTTATATTAAGAACCCTTATAGTCCCCGGTTTCAAACCATAACATATATAAGTCTTATTAACAGCAATCTGTCGACCCACCACCAGACCAGGATCCGAACCATATTTGGTAATGGGAGTAACCTCAAGTTGAGGCTGAATCTCTCCAGCCAACCTAACATCAATATCATAAACAACATGATCACCGACTAAATGCCGTCCTTTTGGTAGCTTACTACTCGGCATCCGCAAAGGACCAGCTCCAGAAGGTAACAATGGCGCCGATGAAGGAAGCACAGCGTTAAAATTAAGGTTTTGAGTAGGGGCTGGAGGTAATTGGGGTGGCATATCAGGAGTTGAAGGCAGTGGGGAGCTTAAAAGAGCCATGAGTCGAGCTCCATGGTTAGGGTTAGGGTTCGTATTGTTAGGGCTAGGAGGTTGAAGAGGAGATGCAGGATAAGGAAGGGATCGCTGGTGTGGGAGGTTAGAATGCAAGTGGTTGTCTGATTGAGGGGGAAAAGGGGGTGGTGGAATATGAAATTGATGATGGAACATAGGGTTATTAGCTTGAGGAGGATTGTAAGAGTAAGGTCCGCCGGTGACGGTGGGTGGAGGATAAGAAGCGGCGGCGGAAGAAGGCGGAAGATAAGGATTGTTGGGGTTTTGGAGAGTTGTGATTTGTGATGAAGGAGAAGAAGATACAGATGGGTTGAACAATCGTTGAACATCGAAAGCTCCTCCACCTCCACCGCCACCGCCGGCGCCTCCTTTTTGTTGATTTTGATTTCTAGGGGAAGCCATGAAACCGGCGGAGGGAATAACAGTTTGCTGGGTTGATGATTATTGAATTGAATTGTACCGATTGAGATCTGAATTGATGGGGATGTGAAAAAAGGGGTTATGGATCGAGAATTTGATGGAGAATTGATGTGGTAGAGAAATGGATTGATGAACACTGTGTTGTTCAGTGTGTGCTACTGTGTGTGAGATTGGGGAAGTTGACAGTGATTTGACTTTTGGGAGACCAGATCCCATGATGAAGATGGCTCGGCTATACTTGTCGTTGTATCAAAACTTCGATGATTTTATGCATATCTAATTTGTCTGATTCATTTTGATTTATAAGAGTTGGTGTTAAGTCTGAAATCCGAATCAAGTAAGATTGTTTGGTTTTATGTCTGAAGTCTGAAATCTGAATTGGTCAAACTATTGTAAAAATATAAATGATAAATAATTTTTACAAAAGTATAAAAAATAAATAGCTTTTGCTAACATATCTTTTCCGACCTTTAAAATATGAACCATTTGATAGAGGGAGGATTAGGATTAAGAGATATTAAGGGGCTATTTGGCAATTGCTGAATGGTTTGGTGCAGAATGATTAAGAGGCTCTTATGATATAGTGCAAAATAAAATATAATTGTTTAGTAATTGTATACAATGAAATTAAGGCTCTTAATGGTTAAGGGAGATCCAGAATACAAAATCATTCAGAGGGTTTTTGAACCATTAAGAGACATACTTTTTTTTTGCTAAACAAGATTCACCTCTTAACGATTTAGATGTTGCCTCTTAATGAAACTATTAAGAGGTAAACAAACAACCCCTAAGACCTTGTTTGTTTTTCATTTTCATCTCTTAATTATCATTTATGTTTGGTTTATTCAGACGTTTTGTAATTAATATTGTTTGTTTTTTATTATTATTTTCAAAGTCTCTTATCACTTAATAGAGTCTGAATAAATAAGAGATAAACAAATATTTTAATTCCTATTATTTTCCCTTTGAATAAATAAGAGAATTTTGCAAAATGTTTGCACCTGATTTTACACAAACAAACTATTGATTCATATTTTTAGACTTCATATCTTTGTCGATATACAAAAACAAACAGTTTTATTGATTCGGATTTCAGACTTTAACACCATCTCTTATTAATCAAAAGTGAAATAAGACTTCAGACTTCATCACCTTTTAAAAAAAACAAACACCACATGAAGAGATACGTTTACCACTTAAATTTTCACAAGACATTTACAGATTTTAAGCTCTTATTAAAAAAAAACATTCTTAATACTCAAACGTATAAACGAATCAGACTTTAGAGGTATCAAGAGGCAATTTTGAAAAAGCAAATATGTCTTGTGTTTGTTTTTTTAAAGTATAAGGGGCTGTTTGTTTTTAATAAAAAAACTCTTAATGTCCTCTTAAGTCTGAATCGGTCAGACATAAGAGGATTCAGTGTGTTTGTTTTTTTTTTTTTCAATTAAGAGCTTAAAAGCTCTTATTAGGTCTGAAAATTTAAGTGGTTGCAAAACTTCTTATTACTTCTTATTTCAAATCGTCGCCTATCTACTCTGATATATTTGCGCTCGATTTCTCTAGATCAACTCTTCTATCTCGATCTCTCATCTCTCAACTTTGTCAACTGTCGATCCATATCAACTCTCGATCTCTCATCTTCAAACTTCAAATTTCAGACGCAAAAAACAAACAGTCTGACTGATTCAGATTTCAGACTTCAGCACAACCTCTTAAAAATCAGAAGTGAATTCAGACTTCAAACTTCAGCACCTCTTAAAAAACAAACGCCACATAAGTTTTTTTTCTTATTGGAAAACTAATTAAAATAGTTAATTTGAATTGTGATTTTACCTCTTGGTTATTTTTCTCCTAAAACAATCAAAATGTCACTATCTCCACAAGTAGCAGGTCCGCAATTTACAAAGAGGTCAAAGTGTAAAAAAATGAAGTTTCTAAACCATAGGAACAGGGACCAAATCTGTAAAATATATATAGGTTGCAGTATACTAATTTATAGATTTGGTCCCTACACTTGCGGATCTGGTTCAAAAACTTTTTTTTACACTTTGACCCATCCATAAATTGCGGACCTGCCACTTGTAGAAGTAATGATATTTTTGATGATTTTGGAGAGAAAAATGTTAAGGGACGTTTGTTTATCTCTTAATAATTTCATTCAGATGCACGAGATGTGTCTTTTGTTGGAGGGGCATCCCATGGACACATCCCTTTTTAGATAGTGTTCTTTTTTATTAACTTGAATATCCAATCTGTCATGTGAGTCGACTAATACCAGGGCGACCACCTGCTTTACGGGTAGCCCGGAGTCATCGCAGTTGAACCTCTATGGCCACAAAGAGATTTTTATTCATATTTGGATTTGAACCTAGAACCTCAAGACACTATTGACCTTTAAGGGCAAGTTCAAATCAATCAGACATCACTCTTTGTAGTTAGTGTTTGTTTTGTTCATGGTCCATTGGATGGTGGCTCTACAGTAACAACAAAGGCTTCAGCTTTTGAAGAAAATTATTGATAAACATAGGATGTTTGAGATACATTAAGGGATGTTTGGTAGTTACTGAATGGTTTGATGCAGAATTATTAAGTGGTCAGACTAATTAAGAGATTCTCATGATTATAGTGTAGAATGAATTATAATTGTTTGGTAATTGTTTGCGATGAAATTAGGGTGATGAATAGTAAAGGAGGCCCAAGATGCAGAAGCATTAAAAGGATTTTAGAACCATTAAGAGAAAATTTTTTTGCCAAACAAGATTCACCTCTTAACAATTCAGAGGTTGTCTCTTAATGGAACTATTAAGCGGTAAACAAACAACTATTTACTTTTCTCCCAAACGTAAATATATGAAAAGAAAAACATAATAATTAAAAAGATTAATAAAACTACCAAACTCTTCGTTTTAAAAAATATATCCATAAAATGACACCTTTTTTTTCATGTCGTGTTTAAGAATATGAGAAATCATTTTCTTTCGTTCCTTCCTTTTGTTTCTTTTTTTATTAAGCGTGGGTGTCTAAACCAGCTTGCACGCACCTCGACTAATCTCAAAGGCATACAGAACAACCAGGTAAATCCTCATCCGCCTTGCAGGACTCGAACTGGTGACCTCTATGGAATATCCCCAAAGGTGCAAGACTTATTGTCAGTTGAGCAAACACAGCTTCTTTTTTCTTCCCCAAATTCATGAACACGACATAAAGGTGAGCCTATCGGTCGTTTGTCGTCTTTCAAAAAAAGGAGTTTACAAAAAAAAAAGAGACGTTTGCAAACCTTTTGCTGTATTATTTTTCCCAATAAAATAGTCGAGATTCGTAAGATAAGCCAAAGAAGTGCAACTCACAAGAAAAAGGAACTCACAAAGAATGTTATTTTAGCGGTTGTTTAGTAATTGCTGAATGATTTTGTGCATAATGATTAAGTGGTGAAAATTATTAAGAGACTTTCATGATGATAGTGCAAAATGAAATATAATTGTTTGGTAATTATATACAATGAAATTAGGGCGTTGAATGGTTAAGTGAGACCTATGATACAAAATCACCCAAGGGGTTTTAGAACCATTAAGAGACAGGTTTTTTTTTTTTTTTTGCCAAACAAGATTCACATTTTAGCGATTCAAATGTTGCCTCTTGATGGAACTATTAAGAGGTAAATAGACAACCCTTAGTTATTACTCTTATACAATATATAAATCATGCTCCTTTTGAGGCGTTGTGGACGTCACATCGGAATGAAAACAAACCCTGCCACGGGACGTGCCAAAGATCCTCGTTAAGAGATTTACATTGTATTTATTATGTTAGTTTTCGTTCATAAAGATCAAAATGGAATGTCGTTTTACATTTACAATGTTCTAAATTAACGTAAAAGAATTCAAATTGTGAAGGATGCATATGCTACTGATATTTATGGTAAGACGGAAAAATAGAAATGGAAATATCTGTTTATTTTTGACAATCTGTTATTTCTTTATTTATACATACATACGTGGACTTCCGTAAATTGATCCATAAATTATGTCCAAGAACGAAACAGAGTTTGCTCTCCATCATCATCGTTATCTTGTCGTATTCTTCTACCCTTTTTCGATTCGAATTCAATTGCCACAGACGTAATATTCCGTGAAACAATTTCTGTCTGGATTCTTTATCAGAGTTTCCATCATTCAATCATCAAACGATTTATGGGGGATCCGAAAATGTGGTGCGGTAGGATATGCATAATTTGCACATGCGTGATACTGGTCGGGATTGCAATCGGGCTGTTGTTTGGTTTTGGCATATTCAACGAAGGAGTTCAAAAAATCAAGAACATATTTCGTCTTTCTCAATGTCAGACATATCCTTACATTTTCATTGGCAGATCTTTTCGTTCCCCTCCTCCGTTTTAACGTCCATCATCATCTGTACAGAAAATTACAATTAGAAATCGGACACGGATCTTGTATCGTTCTTTGTAAATTATTATTTAACTGAAATTAAGAATTCTCGTTTATTTACATTAATAGATGATTTTAAATATATTATTTCAATTTATTATTATTTTAAAAGTGATAAGTTATATTAATTTGTTTGTCTCTTAATAAAACCATTAAGAGATAATATCTGAATTGCTAAGATGTGAATTTTGTTTGACAAAAAAAAGTTTGTCTCAATGATTTTAAAACCCTCTGAATGATTTTGTATCATGACCCTCCCTTAACCATTCAGCGCCTTAATTTCATTATTAATAATTATCAAACAAGTATATTTCATTTTGCATTGTATCAGAGTCTCTTAAGGGCCGTTCACCAAATGCTTACTCGGGGTAAACGTTTACCAAGTCACATTATCTCACCGGATGAATATGATAATGACCAAAAATCATACCCGTTAAGAGCGAAGACAAGGACCAATATTATTACCCGGTAAGTGATGACGACAACTCTTACCACGATTAACACTTATTAAATAAGTTGTTACATACAATGTCATTTTTGGTAGAATAAAATCTTACTTGACAGCGACAACGTTGAATTTTACCGTTACGTTTGGCGGGTAAGCGTTTAGGTAACGGCCCTCCCAAATCGACAAATATATCGGTAAGAAATCTCCAAGAAGCGAAACCACAGAAAACTAGGTTTAGAAATTCCAATCGAATCGGAGAACAATATGAAGATCACTGTAATGATAGCTGATGAACAGATCATTACATCAGAATTAGATCGCGAATCGGAGATGAATCCGTAAGAATTTCTTTCCTTTTATCGTTAATCTCAAAACCCTAGAAAATGTTTCCTTTTTGTTGTTTGAAATTGGTGTGGAATAATGTTATTCAGTTCTTAATTGCATTTCAGCTATGGAGTACCTGATCTTTGATGTGAGTAACAGAGTGATCTTGACTCAGGAGTGACCGGAATAAGTTGCCGGACCGTTTAAGGGTGCGTCACCGGCCGAGATCTGAATTACGTCGGCGACAGGTGGAAGAGAAGAGATGCTGAATCGGTAAGCTGCTTAAACCAGTGACACTAGTGAGATTGCAAATTTTTTGCTGTCATACTCATTACTGAAATCACTGAAATGCTTTCTGCTTACAAGAGAAGCTTTTATTTATGAATGCATAGTTTTTATGCTGTAGATTTTGATCTTCCATCAATGAAATTCAGGGGCTGATTACTTTTCTTCTTCCATGAAACCCTCTGGATTAAGTTGTCTGTTTGGATAACTTTGTTGGGATAACTTTGTGTCTCCGAATAACAGAAGACCGATGGGTTTGAGATGTAGAGATATTTTTCACAAAATAATCAATGGTCTGATGGTTAGTTCATTGTTTTTCATATGTGAGGTCCTGAGTGAAATTCTTTTGTTGCAATTTTTTTAGAAACATAATAAATATGAAATTAAGAGGTAAAAACTAAGAAAAATGGCACTACCAGGATTCAAACTCGGGAATGGGTGGGAAGAAAAGGTCTACGAACTAACTCTCTACCAAGAAAAACTTGTATTATTGTCGTAGTTCAAAATATATATGATGACATATAACAAATAGATATGGTGGACTTTTCACGACCCTATAGTTTTTTACACTACGACAGAGGAACGAAGCGGTGACACGTGCCACCGTATCCAATGCACTGGGTCCATCCCTGAAAAAAACCGATGGGTTTAAGAGAGGCAGACAAAGAGAGAGGATTGGATTGTTTATGGGGAATATATGGTATTAAATTGTTTGAAGTGGGGTAACGGGGAAAGCGAGGGGTGTTGGTCATTTTAGCTCAATTGCTTAACGATTAAGTCGTAAAGGAACACTCCTGTATGGTTGTGTCAATAAGTCGTCCAGAACATTAAGTTTTAAGTAAACAACACCTTTGTGATATAAGAGACTATATTAAGATTCAAAGATTGTGTAGTTTGTAAGTGATAGATAGCTACAAGGGATTTTCGATTTTTTTCATGCACACAAACAACTAGCATACTCGAGCTTTCACGACACCAATTTATGTACCAGAAAGATCGGATCTTATAGTACACCAGAAATGGCGAATCATTAGACATAGCAAAATAGCATCTCAGAAACCTTTCCATATGGAAAGAACTTCATTAAAGACTTCCCATATCAGTTCTCTGTCTCCCGATTGTATAAATGTACTGAATTCTTCTTGAATCTCGTATATCTTACCGAACTTAACGAGATAATGCATGCAACAAATCTTCAGCCTTTGTAGACTGTATAATTTAGCGTTTTGGAGCCTCACCAACACGTTCTTTGTGTTGATATCTTCCAAAAGACTATCGTGACACGCCTCTTTTAGGTCCAAAACTTCGTACTTATCAGCCGCTCTAAGAAGATCGAGCCTGTAAGTGAGAAAATCTTTGTTCCCTATGTTACCGTATAATGAGCTGAGAAAAGCTTGGCAAGCTTCAATGGACATATCAGGAATGTTAATGGTGGAGAGCTCTTTTTCTTTCAAGTCATGAGAGAACATGCTATAAAAGACTGGGGACCGTGCAGCAAGGACTGCACGGTGGGCCCCAATGCTTCCATCGGCAGCATTGATGATGATATCTGTGTGAATGCTTTCTGATAGCATTCGACCAAGAGAGGTAAGGGCGGTTGCATATGATTCCTTTTGCGCCACCCCTTCCGCCCAGATGGAGCACGATTCACCGCCCTGCTTCACACATCATAAATGTCATTTTGGAAAACAAGCAACGAACATGAAAAGTTCAAAGGGTAAAATGTAACCAAATGAAACGAAGTTCGTTTTGGTTCCCATTTACTGTAATGCTCTCAAGAGTAAATTACATTTTTCGTCCCCATGGTTTGTTAAAAGTTGCGATTTTCATCCCTGTGGTTTAGAATTGTGGTTTTCGTCCCTATGGTTTGTAATTCATTGTTATTTTCGTCCTTGTGATTAGTACTTTATTGTTATTTCTGTTTTTGTAGTTTACAATTCTTTAAGGTTTTAGTCCTTTGTATTTAAAGGTAGAAATTTGTCCATGGATGAAAATAACAATAAATTGCAAATTGTAGGGACGAAAATCATAGTTTCTAAACCATAGGGACAATAATTGAAACTATTAACAAACCACAAGGACGAACATTGCAATTTACTCCACGACCAATATAACAAATTTTTGAAGTTTCATATTTTTGTACCCATTTTGACCATCAACTTGTTGATCTTGTAACATTTGATGACGTTGATGTCAAGGTTATCATTTACTTTGTTGTAACTCTTTGTAAATGAGTATCCACACCATCAAATGTTACAAGATTAACATGTTATCAGCCTAAATGAGTATAAACTAGAAATTTTTTGAAATCGTGTTGCAATTTTATGCATCTTTACTGAATTTCGAATGATAAGATCAATTACTTGGGGAGATGCGGTCTTCAGGTCAAGAAATTCAACATCGATGATGAACTTCCCTGTGAATGGAACCTCGAGTGCCCAAACAAAATCATCGCTACTTTTTAGCTGTTTATCCCTAATTTCTGCATCGGTGTCGTTAGCAAGCAAAACAATGTTACTTCGTTGTGAACACATTTGGTTGCAAAAATATAGAACTTGACTGTAAAAAACGTATCGTTTTACAAGGATCATGTGAAAATGTGGATTGTTTAGAAAACTAGCTAATAAACTACTTGATAATGCTAGTGGTTTTGGTCATTTTTTGTAAAAGGTAAATTGCATGAAAAAGTCAACGTACTTTAACTTGATTCATATTTCGGGTAACGTATTCTTAAAACTTTCATTTTGGTACCTAAGGTGTAAAGTTTTAAACATTTAAGTACCCGGTTGATACATTAACAGGTTATCATGCTGATGTGGTATTCAACTCAATATTATTTGCTGATGTGACTAGTGATATGAATTTTTTGAATCTAAAATTAGTCTTTTTTTTAATCTAAAACTAGTTTTCAACCGGTTACCCTGGTACTTAAATGTTTAAAACTTCTTAGCTACCAAAATGAAAGTTCTGAAAGTACGTTGCTCAAAATAAGAATCAAGTTAAAATACATTACTTTTTCATGCAATTTGTCCCTTTGTAAAATACAAATTTTATAATTGTTAAACTAAAAAGAAAACCCCGAAGCTTGTTGAAACTCCATTTGAAGTCTAGAGTATCACCAACAGATCCATTAAGTTACAATTTCTAAAAAAATATTACACATTCTCTATTTTAGAAATTTCAATATTAAAATATTTTTTAAAAATATTAGATTATTAAAATATTTTTTAAAAATATTAGATTATTAAAATATTTTTTAAAAATATTAGATTATTAAAATATTTTATAATTTCATCATTCCAGTACATCAAAAAAGCCAAATACAAGAACAGACTAACAGGGACCGTTAAAACTTAGAACCATTTATCAAATATTTATCCAGTAAGTGCTTACGGTAAAATTTAATACTATTATTTATTTATCACGTAAGATTTTAATCCACTAAAATGATATTGTATGCAACAATTTAACCAGTAATACCACGGTAAGAGTCATCGCTCTCATTTAACGATTAAGAATCATGGTCCTTGTCTCGCTCTTACCGGGTAAGATTCTTGGTCCTTACCATATTCATCCAGTAAGGTAATATGACTTGGTAAGCGCTTACCCGGATAAGTATTTGGTAAACGGCCCCTTAATATAAAATAATAATAATAATTTTATCTCATCAGTGAAAATGAGCAAAAAAAATCATTTCTCTCTTCTCACATTAAGTTTTAAAAATTTCTCTAAAATTTTCCGAAAACAATAAAGAGAATTTGTTGGAGCAAAAGAGAAAAAAAATCTCGATTTTTATTATTTTATAGAATTCGTTCGTGATGCCCTAAAAATCTAAGTTTATGACTCGTCAAATACGCTCTTTTAATAAACTCAAAAATAAACCAACTTATGTTTGAACAAAAAGCGAAACAGAATATGGGTACTAAATTTACCGGGATGAACCAAAACCTTGCGACCTTCGGATAACGAGACGAGTCGAATGATGAAGGAAACAATCGGAGGGCCGTCTTGAGTTAAATTTGATATCTCTGGATACAGCTTAATCAATAAGGTTCGATTCTTCTCCACAGCTAAATGCCTGATTTCAAATAAAAGGAAATGACTCAAAAATCAACCAGTAATTGTGTAATGAATCATATTTGGTTGGACAATTGCATGAAAAAGTAACATACTTTAACTTGATTTTTATTTTGAGTAACGTATTTTCCAAACTTCTATTTTGGTACCTAAAATGTAAAGTTTTAAACATTCAATGATCTGGGTAACCGATTGAAACATTAACCGATTACCATGTTGCTAAAAAAAGGATCAATTTGGGCAATTTTTTCAGGGTATCAAGAACACCATGGTCTTTCCAAAAAGGGTTTGTAAATCATAGCAATATTCTATTTCGTTGCAGGCAAAAATTCAATAAAATCAAGAACCAGATAACGGAATAGGTTGATGTCCACTGAGTTTACCAGAGCTGATATTTTACAACTGTAATTTATCGGCATTAGTTTAGGTATAACCTGACACACCCTCTAAAAAAACACCCATTTTGAAATCTTGATATTTGCTTTGGAAATCAAAAATAACTCGAATATTGTACAGACAACTCAAACGGGTTTCTCGAATAAACTCACCAATTCCATTTCCCGATCCGAAACGGATTCGATTTCCGGTACGTAAAAGCCGCCAAGTTGTCGATTCGCCATTGAGCAAGGCGTGAAGTCGTATCCACCCGATAAGCCGAATCGTTCATCCTAGCGAAAGCCAACGCCGTTGTGATTTCATGGAAGCAGTCGAAAATCCCGTCCAACAACAACTCGCCGTGCTTTCCCAGATTGTCTTGCCGGAATTCTCTCCGGCCGGCAACTCTTCATATACACAAAAAAAAAAAAAAAAACACAGTTCACCACTCACTGTGTGTGACTGAAACCAAAAAAATTGGATTCTGGGTTCTTTCCCCTTTTTTGGAATTCAAGAAATCTTGAATTGGATTTTAAGCTTTTGGTGGCTTTTATTGCACTTCAAGAGTTGTGTTAATACGTGTCCTTTTAAAACCAAAATTCTTCGATGTTGCTTTCTTTAAACAGTATTCGTAGGGTCCCATGATTTAACATTTATTTTAAAATATTTCAATCAATCAAACTATAAAAAATGATAAATTGTATTAAAAAGTAACGTACTTTAATTTGATTTATATTTTGGTAACGTACTTTCAAAACTTTCATTTTGGTACCTAAGATGTAAAGTTTTAAACATTTAAGTATTCGGGTTTCTGGTTGAAGTATTGACCGGTTTTCATGTTGATGTGGTATCTAATTCAGTATTATTTGCTGACGTGGTTAGTGACATGAATTTTTTTTTTAATTAGTCTTCAATCGGTTATCCGGGTACTTAAATGTTTAAAAGTTTACATCTTAGGTACCAAAATGTAAGTTTTAAAGTACGTTATCTAAAATAGGAATCAAGTTAAATTACGTTACTTTTTTCATGCAATTTGCCCATAAAAAATAGGGTGATTTAATATACATCCATATTATGTGAGGATAAAATCAAACATCGAAAATGTAAAAAGTAAGTCTTGATGTTGATGTCTGTGAAGAAGAAATCAGTATCTAAAGATGTATTTAGCAATATATAGAAGTGTATTTAGGGCTTGTTTGTTAGTAACTTAATGAGTTTAATGAGACTCACAACATATTCGGTTAGCTATACATAATTGTTTGGTAGTGGCTTAATGTTTACCTCTTAATAGTTTCATTATGAGACAGCTTCTGAATCGTTAATAGGTGAATCTTGTTTGCCAAAAAAAAGTCTGTATCTTAATGTAACTAAAATCCTCTTAATGATATCGCATCTTGTGCCTCCCTTAACCATTCAACGCCCTATTTTATTGTAACCAATTACCAAACAATTATATTTCATCTTGCACTATATCACGAGAGCCTCTTAATCATTCTGACCATTTAATCATTTTGCACCAAACCATTCAACAACTATTAAACAACCCCTCCATTTCGTAACTTTCAAAATGTACTTTTCGATACAGACCAAGAATCATGTCCGGAAAGCGAGAGTGATGATTTTTACTCGATTAATATTTGTTGGGTAAGAGACACTTATATTATGTCATTTTGATGATCGAGAATCTTACTGAAAGGTGACGACGATTCTTACAAGCGTTAATCTGACTAGCGATTGGAACTGTTAAATGTTAATAAAATTTGAGGTGTGTTGGTGATGGGAAGGAACACAGTCTTTTGTCCTTGGAAGCAAAGTATCTCTTTAAATCACTCAAAGTAAAGTAAGAAGGTGATATAATAAAAATTCAATAAAAAATTTATATAAATACTGCATAGGAATTTGTTAAAAAGTGAATTTGGGTCAGAAAATATCTGAAAAATGAAACCCTGTTGATTTACTATTCTGTCAAATTCCAAATTTTTATATACTATATACATATACATATATAAATATTTGAAATATATTTGAATCGTTAAGAGATGAATCTTGTTTGGCAGAAAAAAGTCTGTCTCTTAATGATTCTAGAACCTTCCGAATGATTTTGTATCTTAAGTCTTACTTAACCATTCAGTGCCCTAATTTCACTGTAAACAATTACCAAACAATTATGAAAGTCTCTTAATCATTCTGACAATTTAATAATTCTATATCAAACAATTCAACAACTATCAAACAACTCCATTGTATAAAGAATATCAGTTTTTAATCATTAAACAATACAGGTTCGACTTCGCAATAGATATTTGTTTGAAAATTTTAATTTCGAAGAATCAAGTTCGACACGATAATTGACCCGACAAATAGATAGCAACACGTGTCAATCATTTATAGTTTACAAAGTGTATTTATTTATGGTAGGTCGATAAATAGCACTAGATCGATCATAAAAGCATCTTTAACAGATTCTTTAAAATGAAGAAAATGAAGATTTTGGACAATTTTTTGCTTAAACAGATTATTTAAAATGAACCTTTAATACGTTGTACTTACACAAAACTACTTAAAATCTTGAATTTTAAGTAATATGCATCAATAAACAGTAATTCATGCAATAAAAAATGATTTTTAATAGTTTTTGTCAAATGCTTTATAATATAATATAGATAACCGTGAAATATACTCTTAAAAGGCATAAATCATCACAAAATGATTAAGATGTTGTTTGTTATTTGTCGAATGGTTTGATGCAGAATGATTAAGTGATCAGAATGATTAAGATGCTCTCATGATATAATGCAAAATAAAATATAATTGTTTGATAATTGTTTACAATAAAATTAAGACGATAAATGGTTAAAGGATGTTCAGAATGCAAAATCATTCATATTATTTTAGAAACATTAAGAGCCAGATTTTTTTTTTATCAAACAAGATTCAACTCTTAACGATTCAAAAAATGTATTTTAATAAAACTATCAAGAGGTAAACAAATAATCTTTAAATATTTTATAGAAAAAATCTGAAATGTTAATTTATTGGGAGTATTAATAATGTAAAAACCCTATGGATTGGGTAACGGGAGGAATGGACGTATTACCTGAAGGAGGAAGGACACGTGGAAGAAAACGACAGGTTAAACTGCCACCTATTGTTTTGCATTTCAAAAGTAGTTGAAAATCCCTCACCAACTGCTTTACCCGTTCAATTATCGGTGCTCGTCACGTGATTTAACGCCACGTGGCCACCTCACATATTTATGGGCATGGCTCTCAATAAACTAACAAATGTTTGTAACCGCCTGAATTATTAAGAAATAAATCTTATTTGATAAAAAAAAAATATGTCTTTTAATGCTTCTAAAATCATTTGAATGATTTTGTATCTTGGGTATCTCTTGATTATTAAACGCTCTAATTTTATTGTAAACATCTATATCATGAGAGTCTTTTAATCATTCTGACCACTTAATTATTTTAGACTAAACCATTCAGCAACTGACAAACAGCCACGAAGATTTGTTCTTGTTTATTCGTTTAACTTAACCGAACAAGTGAATGAATGCGAACGATAAATGAACATATATTTTTGTGTTATGTTTGTTTGTTAAGAAAATGTGTCTGTTCACATTCGTTTATGTTCGTTCGTTAAGATGTTAAACGAATATGAATAATGAACAAACATAAACAAAAAACACCCCTCGTTCTTCAAAAATAACGTAACAAAATGACAAATCAGATAACTTAAGAGGGGTAAAAAAAGAATTCTAAAAATATAATTCTAATAATGTTTTTACGTATTAATGTCATAGGGAGAGGTTCATTTGAGAAGTGATAAGTATTTGAGAAATTACGACTTTGATTGGTCAAACGAAAAATATAGGGGTAGTTTTATAATTTTTAGAAATAGGCGGTAAACAAGTGTATATGTGAATCAGTTAACTAATTCATATGTGAATTACACGGGTTCATATGTGAATCAGTTAAATAGTTCATATGTGAATTAAAAAAATTCACGTATGAACATAGTTCATACGTGAATCACACAGGTTTACATATGCACTTGTTTTGCTGCCTGTTTGTAACAGTTGCGAAACTACCCCTCTATCTTCCACATACCATGCGAGGAATTATCCAATGTCAAAGCCGCAAATATTGACCAGATGTAGCGTTATGATCACTTATTTACTTCTCAAATACTTACTTCCCAAATGAACATATGGCTAATGTCACAATATCTATATATGTATGTATGTATGGGTTGGGTTCATGTAATACATTTTTTTACACTTGAAATTTCACAACAAAACATTGTGAAGGTAAAAGACACCCAAACCTTCACATACAAAAATATTGTGAAGGTTACCTTCACAGCAAAAATATTGTGAAGACTACCTTTTACAGCGTTTCGTTGTGAAGTTTCAAGTGCAAAAAAATGGTCTCACGAGTCATACGAAAACATGTTGGTCTCACGTGATCCCAAATCACATACACACACACACACACTAGTTGTGTACCCGCATGAGGTGTTGTATTATGGAACTATCTATTGTTAAACACTTTATGGTCATAGAAATGTCCAAGAAAATTGAGCCCAACCCGCTATCGAATTAAAGGTAACAACCAAATCTAGCCCAACCCAAATCTCTAATTCTACACTCGCACGATGCAACATGATTCACTTAATTTTATAAGCCAAAAGCTCGAACCATCAATTACATTCAGTACTATAGACGAGGAACAAAATCAGCAATGATGTGTAAACCACAAGGGTGAAAAGAACAATAAAATGTAGACTATAAGAACGGCAACTAACCACAAGGGTGATGTCTGATTGGTTCGAGCTTAGACTCCAAAGGCCAAAAGTGTCTGGAGGTCCCATGTTCAAATCCAATGAGGAATAAAAATCCCTTTGTGGCACGGAGGTTCAAATGCGGTGACTCCGGACTAACTGCAAAGCAGATGGTCGCCATGGGATTCGTCGACTCACATAGTGGGTTGGATATCCAGGATAATAGAAAAAAAAAACGAGAACTATCACTTCAAAAGCATATAGACGAAGATAGCAATTTTCAAAAGACACATAGATGAAAACGTAGTTTTCTCAACAAGCCAGAGGAAACATCCAACAAAGTAACAACAACCTATCCGCGACATTAAATATCCCCCTCCCTCAAACGTGTAAACTAAAATCCCATCCATAATCGGTGAAAAGATTCAACGCCACGAGAGTTCAAAATCGAATACATCATCTGTTTCACCCTTCGTGGAATCGAAACCAATCTCTAATATCATATGTAGAAGGCAATATTCAACATTGTAGAACTTAGACATGTGTCTGCACCGTGTATTCAGTAATCTAACAACCTTATCAGCTTCTAGAAAGCCTACCAGACATGTATCTGCACCTTATGATTATTACAAAGCATTTGACAAAAAATCTTAAAAGCAATTTTTTATTCATGAAATATTGTTTATTGATGCACATTACTTAAAATTCAAGATTACAAGTAAATTGTGTATAAGTACAACTTATTAAAGCTTCATGTTTGAATCCGTGTAACTAACTGCAGATAAACTGGACGTTGGCTTGTCCCTTATGTCTTGTTCATGTCCTGTCGGTCGTTGACTTGGCCCTTCTGCTCCATTTTCGAACATATTAAATAACTTTGGATTTATATATCACTCAAAACCATAAAATTAGCATCAAGAGTGGCCAAGAATAGAAGAAAACATGAAACATGGTTGCCATTTCGAGCTTTTAAGGGCCACTTACTAAATGATTATCTGGTAAATATTTATCAGGTAATTTTTCATACCAGATAAACATGGTAAAGATAAAAAACCTTACCCGATAAGAGCAATGATAACGATAAAGAGTCTACAATCTTATTCGATAAAATAAATTACAGTGTTGACTCGTTAAACGCTTACCGGGTAAGCATTTAAGTAAACGGTCCGGACAGGTACGGTGCCGGGCCGGGTCGGAATCTCTACCCAACATTGTATCGGATTCCTTTCTATCCACTCCTCCACTCCATCGAGATCGACTTCCTCTGTTCAACTTTCGGCCCACACCCCTGCAACTTCCAGCCAACACCTCTGATACGTTTTCTTCGTCGATCCGGCCATCGTGAACAGGTAACTTCTGGCAATTGACTTTTATCATCTGATACGTTTTCTTCCTCGATCGATTTGCAGATTTAACTCAACTTCTACCAGATCGTTCTATCTTCATCTTCACACCCGATCGATTTGCAGATTTAACTCGATATATTTTAAATCCACCACCATCAACCTGCGATTTCGTCTTGTTTTCTGCAAATCGATCATGTTTTAGTAGGGTTTTCATTTGTCTGTACCACATGGAGTGAAATTGAAAGACTAAACATACTTGTACAATATATTGAAACCAATAACAACACCATAGCTGTCAAGAATTCAAACCTTCTGGTCCCTGATTTCAAGCTCGATCTCCATCTCTTGTTTTGCAGATTTAACCTATTGTTTACACATCTATCGATACAGCAGGTAGTTTAATTTTATCTTATTTCTTTGGTTGGTCCATAGTCAATCCACAATCATAGCACTATCACTTCAAATTTCTTGATCATTGCCTGGAATAGTATCACTTGTGTAGCTTGGTACAGTTGTTGATTTTATTCATATTACACTTTTTTCTGGAAGGTTGTCTCGGACAATGCCTAAACTAATCCCAACAAATTGTGACGTCAACCTGAAATTGAATCCTGGCAGATGGGATATTTACCACATCCCTTGGACCTCAATCACTATGCCACAACCCTTGTGGTTTTCATATCACACTTGTTGGTTATATCCTTTGGCAATTTCATATATTTTGTTGATACGCCATTGTTGATTTTATTCATATTTGTTAATTTTCATTTAGATTGATTATTTGGAGAAAAAAGACTAACCATCTCGTCAGGGGTAAATTGGTCATTTTATCGGTTCTTTTCTGCCCGGTTCTGTCTTGCCAAACATTGAACAAATGTCCTTTTTTGTTCTATCCAGGGACGGACCCAAGGTTTTTTTTTGTGTTGGCACATGTCACTTTGCCATTCCTCTGTCTTAGAGTAAAAAATATAGGGTCGTAGAAAGTGTCACCATATCAATTTGTTGTGTGCCACCGTATATACATTGAAACTACAATAAGGACACGAGTTTTCCTTGGTGGAGTTGGTTTGCAAGGCCTTTCTTCCATCCCAGACCCGAGTTTGAATCCTGTTAGTGTCATTTTCTTAGTTTCTAGCTTTTAATTTCATATTTGTTATGTTTTTGAAAAAAAATTTGCAATAAAAGACTTGAACACATGACCTTCCATATGAAAAGCAATGAACTAACCAACAGACCGATAATGATTTTGTGAAAAAGATCCTTATATTTGTTTCTTATAGTCAAATAGTGCCACTGCTTGAAAAAATTCCTGGGTAGTCATTGCTTCCGCTGGGTACCAAATGCACTCTATACACCCCCCCTTAATGTAACATGTTTATGACTGCAGATGCAACAGACAAGTTATTCAAGTAAAAGTTGAATAGAACAAATAAGCATCATTGATAGACCTTAAACAAAAAAGAGAGGAGGCGCATATCTTCCGGATGGATTCAGCCAACGGGGACAAGCCTCTGAGAAAGATTTCAGAAGCTTTCAAGGACATCGCCAACTGTATTAACTCCCAAAACCCTCAACAACTGGAGCTCGCCCCTTTCTCTCAAGCTTGTTCTCTTGTTTCCCCTCTCTTCCGATGCCTTGGTATTGCATTCAAGTTCGCCGAAATGGACTATGTTGCCAAGGTACACTCACTCATCAACATTTTCTTAAATTCATGAATTGTATTCACACTTTACCTTCCCGTGGATTTGTGGGATTTCGGATCATTGGGATTGGATTTCCTATGTTACAATATTATAATAGAGTTGGGTGTTAGCGCACACTAAGGGACTGTTTATAAGCAGCTTAATGAGCTTAACGGGACTCGCAACTTATTCGGTCAGCTATATATGACTGTTTGGTAGTGGGTTAATGAAATAGAAAGTGGCTTATTCAGCAAGCTGGGGAGCTTTATGCAGAAAGCCAAGTTTAAGAAAGGTAAAAGAGCATTTGATACTATTCATATGTTAAACTGTAAATTACATGTCAAAACTTAAAACATCTCAATAATTCCAGGAACTCCTTAAGTTCCCAATTAAAAAACATGATCATTCCATCTATGAAAAAACCCTCCCAAGCAAAAACCTTTTTAATCTATAGAGACAAATTAATCCACACAAACATCTTAATCCATATAGGACTTACTGGAAAACCCACCAAACAACCCCAACATGCTTTAGGTTATTTTGATTTTAGTTGTGAATGAAAACTTGGTTTTTTATGCCTCTGTAAATTATGTTTTATGACGATTGATTATGGGATTTTGACTTTCATTTTTGTGTGTGCCCAGGTGAACGATCTCTGTGAGACTTCGAAGTCAATATCGACCTTGCAATTGATGATGGAAAGGGATATTGAAGAAAATTGTGTGAGGAAGCCTGGCAGTCACACGAGGAATCTTTTGAGGGTGAAGCGCGGTTTGGATATGGTTAGAGTGCTGTTTGAGCAGATTATAACATCAGAGTACGTCTTTCTTCTACTTGATCAATTCAAGACTTTTAGAATGGCAATGCTTATCTAAGTGATGTTTGCAACTACATTAAATTACATGAAAAGTTAAATTTGATCATCAACTTCCTGTTCTGATTATAAAGATTAAAGGCTACTTCATGACTTCAAATTTGTTCATGTCTAAAATGGTGTGTTTGGTATCCGGACAAGATAGAACGATAGAATAGAACAGAGAGAACAGAATAGCTGTTCAACATTTGGTAAGACAAAAACAGTACATGTCATTTCACCCGCCCATTACACTTCTGTCCCGGAGGAAATGGGATTTGAGATCGAAACTGGACCTGAGAGAGACTAGACTTCTAGTAACAGTAGGTGCGCTACGACATAACATATAAAATGACCAATTTACCCCTTATGAGTTGTTTATATATTTTATATATTTTTATTGATTCTGTAATTTATTAAGTTATAATAAGATAAATATTTATGTAGTTTCCAAAATAAAAGGTTCATGTAGTTTCCAAATTTTATTTTATACCCTTTCTAGTTTCTATATTATTATTTTTAACTATTAATATCTAATGAATTACATAAATTAATCAAAATATAGAAATCGTATAAAAACAATATTTTGAGGACATTAAAGTGAAAGTTTAAAAAGCATAAAATACAATGAATAAAATTTAAAGAATTGAATAAAATGTAAAGAGGAAGGTGTATTTGATGTTTTAGAAGAGAATTAGGTTTTATTTTGAAGTTATATTGGTAAAACATAAGTTTGTTCCACCTTGTTCCATGGGGTGGGGGTGGAACACGCCTGTTCCACTATGTTTCTGGCTGTTCCACATAATAGTCCTGCCAAACATGGAACATTGATCCCAGTTCTGTCCTGTTCAGTGAACCAATACTCTCCCATTGTGTTTTAGTTAGAAACATTTCATTGCATCTTGTGTTAGGTAAATGAGCTTTTTTGTGGCCCCAAATATCTTGATATACGTGTGATGCTTGATTTGTGTCTTTGCCAGGGACAATTCTCTAAAGAATCCAGCATCAAAAGCTTATGCAGAAGTATTTTCTCCATATCATGGATGGGCTATAAGAAAAGCTGTTGCTGCAGGAATGTATGCCCTTCCCACAAAAGCACAGCTGTTGCAAAAGCTTAATGAAGATGGTGAGTATAAGTTACATCATGCTTTTCTATTAAATTTTCTCAGCTAGATAATGCAATCCGACCTGACTACGATAGTTGTCTAAGGGCTTGTTTGTTAGCAACTTAATGAGCTTAATGGGACTCACAACTTATTCAGTCAGCTATACATGAGTGTTTGGTAGTGGCTTAATGATATGGAAAGTAGCTTATTCAGTTAAATTGTAGGGGGAAGCTTTATGCATAAAGTCAAGTTTTTTCCCAAACCTGTTCATTCTAATTAAAAAAACACGCTACTTCCATTTATGAAAAAACCCTCCTGAACAAAATCATTCACAATCTATACAAACAGATTAATTCACACAGACTCATGAAGATTAAGGGGTCTGGGAATCAATTTGGTCATGGGTAACACTTTCCTCCTGAGATGTCCCATGAAAATTGCAACATTTTATTTTTTGGATTTTTTTGTTAATATTACACATCAGCCAATTATTATCATTGAAAACAAAGTTGATGGTATTGCATTAGGTTCACATGATTCCTTTATTTTTTCTTCCATATGGTATTTTAGATATTTGATGAATTACTAAACAGTACTCTTAAATTACGTGCCAAATCAAGTGTTGCATTTGTCATATGTGGAGGAGTACATTAAAGTCAAAAGAATTCCTTATATACACTTATTTGTTGTGATTTACATATCAAAGTGAAAAGAATTCCTCATTTACACTCTTTGTAAGGATGTGTCTTGCACACTGGACAACACAAAACAGAATAGGGATCACTGTTTCACGCTTGACAACACTTTTATGTGGAACAGACAGGAACATAGGGGTAAATTGGTCATTTTATATGTTTTGTCCTGTCCAGTTCTGTCTTACCAAACGTTGAACACCTGGATACCAAACGCACCCTAGAGGTCAAGGGTTCAAGTCCTAACCAAAGAAGAGGAGTTTGTGTGAATTCTGCCATATATGATGGTTACGTACATAAAAAAAATGTGAGCTTTGGCGCAACAATGTTGCTACATCTTATCTGATGGTCATGATTTCGTATTTCACTCGCTATTTCGATTCTTGTTCCACTTCTTCATACATACTACAATTACGTATCCTACATTGATTGGATTTTTTGCTGACGATTTTAAGTTTTTTCTTTGGTGCATTCCCGTTTGTAGTTTAGTCTTTCCGTTCTTCGTCTTATTTTTAGTTCTTAATATCCACTAATAACTGCTTTTCTTGTTACTTACAGAAGTATCTGCGAAGTCTGAGATGCAAAATTATGTTACCGCATCCACTCTGGTCGTTTTGTACATCGACAAGCTTTTCCTGTCAAGAGAACTGGGCACAGACTGGTGAATGGTTGAGTCACTCGATTATAATCCACTTCTACTAATTTAATCCTATCCTCTGCTTAACTTTTTGTATATCTTTCTCTGATGTCATTCAACAATTCTTAAGTCGAAATTGGCACCTGTTTCTTTTCTTGAGATCACATTCATTGCTTACAAGGATTCATCAATCATTAGTCATTACGCTTCTACGAGGTCCACAGAACAGAAAAAACCGGGCCCGGGTCCATAAAACGTTTGTTTGGAACTTGGGATCGGTTCAAGATCAAATCCAAAGCATTAGGTGTTTCGGATCCATTGATACTTGTTATAAACTCATGATGGGATGAGAATAATTAAACCAGTATGGCATAATAGTAGGCATCCGATACCTTTTTGTTAATTTCATTTGGATCCACTTGGGTATCCCGACATTTCCTCAGAAGGTCTTTAGGCCTCTATGAAACTTCCTATTACAGCCGGTGGGATCGCATAACAAGTGCTGCAGTGTAAGGTATTTGGTCTTAATCTATAAAAACTTTGCTTAATGAGTTCAGTTTTTAATTCAAGTATTCTCAGATTACGTCTGGCGGGATTTACGAGTTGCTATGTGGTCTGCAGGAATTGAACCCTGATCCAGTCATACCACTCTATTCAACATGTTGAGAAAGCATTGATATGGTACATACTCATTTCATTTTAGTGATCAGTAAACTTTAATCTGAATTTTTATTTAAGGTGATATAAAACGAATACATGAGACGCTCAATATCTCAACGCCGTCTTACAAAATACGTATTCAAGATTAGTAAGCAATACTTGACTTAATGTGTCCTTTAAGTGCATCTATCCAGCAACCATTTTGGTAGACATAGGTGAGTAGTAGTGAACTGTGGTGCAGATGGGTGGTAGAACCACTTTTCTTTTGGATGCTATAAGTTACAGAATACCATTAGCGAGCGACGTAGCGGGTGCTATATTTGGAACCCAGAAAACGGAGAAGACTCGAGCCCCTCGATAGACGATAGCTGCTGTATGATTCATGAACCTTCTCTCTCGAGTTAGAATTCTTAAAACCATCTGATTCCACTGTAGGTTGTAGCTTCTCAAAATTGGCCAAATATGCCGGGTTGGTCCAAAACAGTGTACAAAACCTGGTCAGGGGAATGCCGCTCGGGCGCATACACACGGGCCGCAATAAATTTTTGCTCAATTTTTTTTTTTTGATATTCAATAGTAGGACTAGAGTGTAAATGAGTCGAGTCGAGTATTAGGTTATTCGAGCTCGACTTGAAAAAATAGTATCAGACTTGAGCTCGATTAACCTTGAAAAAATATTCGAACTCGAGCTCGAATATTTTTTCAATGTTTGAGCTCATGCTTGATACTTGTTTATGAGCTCGAATTTGAGATCAATTAACTCGTTTATTTACTCAATGATTTTTATATTTTGATTATATATTTTGTAAGCATATAAAAATATTTGGCTCGAAAAAGTATATGCTCGAATGGCTTGACTCGACTCGACTCGTAAAGTTTAGTTGAGCTTTTGAACGAGTTGAGTCGAGTCGAACATTGTGCAAAAGCTTCTAATTCTGCGAATTGTGCCGGTTCCAATTTTATGTGGACATAAAGGCACTATGAAGCTTCAAAAAAACTGGGTCTTTACAAATTCATACCAATTTATTGAATTGTTTGAATTTTTATGTAAAAGATTTATAGGCGGGGTTAATCACAGGATAAACCTCGACAGAAAACTGAAGAGTAACGACAACAAGTGATTGAATTCAGTAGTTTCCGTTAAGTTGAATGAGCTTTATTTTCTGAAAATATATTGTAAAAATAAGTTAATTAAGTTAATTAAGTAAGGGGATATTTACCCAAATGTTTACTCGGTAAGTGCTTACCGATAGAAGTCTAACACTATAATTTATTTTGATGCGTAAGATGTTAGTACATCAAAACATATCGAATGCAACAATTTAATTGGTAAGTGCTTACCTTAGTAAGAATCGTTATCTTCACTTATCGGGTAAGACTCTTCAATTCTTCTCATTGCTCTTACCTGGTAAGATTCTTGGTCATTTTCATATTCATTTGATGAGCAAATTTATTCGGTAAGCACTTATCAGTAAGTGTTTAGTAAACAACCCCTTAGTAAGAATCGTTATCTTCACTTATCGGGTAAGACTCTTTAATTCTTCTCATTGCTCTTACCTGGTAAGATTCTTGGTCATTTTCATATTCATCTGATGAGCAAATTTATTCGGTAAGCACTTATCAATAAGTGTTTAGTAAACAACCCCTTAGGGGGCTGTTTACCAAACGCTTACCCGGGTAAGCGCTTACCAAGTCACATTATTTTACCGGATGAATATGGTAAGGACCAAGAATCTTACCCGGTAAGAGGGAGAGAAGGACCGAGAGTCTTACCCCGGTAAGTGAGGGCGACGACTCTTACCATGGTAAGCGCTTACTGGGTAAGTTGTTGCATACAATGCCGTTTTGGTGGATTAAAGTCTTACCCAGTAAGTAAGTGGTAGTGTTAAATTTTATCGGCAAGCGCTTACCGAGTAGTAAACGGCCGCTAAATTCTTACCCAGTAAGTAAATGGTAGTGTTAAATTTTACAGACAAGCACTTACCAGTAAGTGTTTGGTAAACGACTACTAAGTCTTACATTAAAAAATATACTCAAGCGTTGACATTTCAAAAGATGATTGAAAAAAATTAGCAAACTATTACTTGAACAATTTATTTCAAATTGTCAAACACAAAAAAATCTACTCTTATATTTATAAAAAAACAATTTTACGAAATTAATCGATAATGAACCCGATTAGAGATTTTGATGAAAACCACTTAATGCTATCAAGATTTCGTTTGTCGATTTGGAGATTTTAATGCTTTGTGTGTTCCCGATAGGTATCTTCACGTTGCGCTTCACACGTTTTTCGAGGTATCGACTTGAGCTTAATATTGCATATGTGAGACGGTTTGCTTGGAAATATCAAAACGTGTATAGAGATGTGATACACTTGCACCGATAAAATATACATGGGACCTACAAAGTAGGTTATTATAAGAACTATCATTGTGGAGTTTTATGCAGGTACTTAGTTTGGTGAATTGGAAATGATGTGGCAAAGAAAAAATATAAAAAATTGGATCTTATAAGAATCTCAATTGAAGATTTTCTTAAAAGGCTGTATATTATGTTTCTTAAGTTCTAATTTATAGTCTTTGAATTTCTTGCATATAATTGTAACTAGAAGGGTACTCGTGTAATATAGCGAGATACATCTTAATTTTAATATTTTATTCTATTTTTTATTCCAGTCGATGTTATAGTATGGTCTTATGTGATTTTGAAAAAACGATAATGTTTTTATTTTTGAATAAAGTATAAACTTGAAGATATCATAAAAATTTGAAAAAAATATATCGATATTAGTATCAAATTAACTATTTAAAATTTTTCATTTTTATGTTACTTCTATTCAATTTTTTTATTATAATTTAATTTAGGTTCAATAACGAAGTAATTTATATGTGATTTAATAATATAATTTTCTTATAAAGATAATAATTAATTATTTTGTTAGAACTCGATGATTATCCTAATTATATTTTAGATTTTTTATATTTTAAAATGAGATGTTTATCCTCTATTTGATTATGTTTATCCACAGTTAGTTACACGAATTCAAATATGGAGCTTTAATAAGTTGTACTTGTGCATAATTTACTTGTAATCTTGAATTTTAAGTAATATACATCAATATACGGTACTTCATACATAAAAAATGGTTTTTAAATTTTTTTGTCAAATGTTTTATAATATAGTATAGATATCTTATGCTTTTTAACTTGTCTTTATAAGTTTCGATATAAATGTATTATAAGGTAGCAGTAGATACTTAAAACACATGTCTTTAAGGGTTGTATGTAATATAAATTACACTATAGTATAATATGGTTGGGTTCACGTGAGACCAGCTTGTTTTCGTGAGACAACCTTTTTACACTTGAAACTTCACAGCAAAACTCTGTAAATGTAAAAAAAATCGAACATTCACAGTAAAAACACTGTGAAGTTTTAAGTGTAAAAAAGCGTCTCACGAAAACAAGTTAGTCTCACGTGATCCCAAGTCTAGTGTGTGCGTGTGTATGTGTGTATATATATATATATATATATATATATATATATATATACTATCTATACTATATTATAAAGCATTTGGCTAAAACTCTTAAAACTCTTAAACTCGTTCATCCCTAAACAATTTCATCCCTATCCGATTTCATCCCATAATTGAATTCGTGTAACTAACTGCAGATAAACACAATCAAATACAGGATAAACATCTCATTTTAAATATAAAAAATCTAAAATATAATTAGGATAATCAT